TCAATCGCAGTCCACACTGCCCTTTCCCACCTGGACAAAAGGTTCACCTATGTGAGAATGCTGTTCATTGACTACAGCTCAGCATTCAACACCATAGTGCCCACAAAGCTCATCACTAAGCTAAGGACACTGGGACTAAACACCTCCCTCTGCAACTGGATCCTGGACTTCCTGACGGGCCGCCCCCAGGTGGTAAGGGTAGGCAACAACACGTCTGCCACGCTGATCCTCAACACTGTGACCCCTCAGGGGTGCGTGCTTAGTCCCCTCCTGTTTTCCCTGTTCACCCATGACTGCGTGGCCAAACACAACTCCAACACCATCATAAAGTTTGCTGACGACACAACAGTGGTAGGCCTGATCACCGACAATGATGAGATAGCCTATAGGGAGGAGGTGAGAGGCCTGGCGGTGTGGTGCCAGGACAACAACCTCTCCCTCAATGTGAGCAAGACAAAGGAGCTGATCGTAGACTACAGGAAAAGGCGGGCCGAACAGACCCCCATTAACATCGACGGGGCTGTAGTGGAGCGGGTCGAGAGTTTCAAGTTCCTTGGTGTCCACATCACCAACAAACTATCATGGTCCAAACACACCAAGACAGTCGTGAAGAGGGCACGACAACACTTTTTCCCCCTCAGGAGACTGAAAAGATTTGGCATGGGTCCCCAGATCCTCAAAAAGTTATAGAGCTGCACCATCGAGAGCATCCTGACTGGTTGCATTACCACCTGGTATGGCAACTGCTCAGCATCTGACTGTAAGGCGCTACAGAGGGTAGTGCGTATGGCCCAGTACATCACTGGGGCCAAGCTTCCTGCCATCCAGGACCTGTATACTAGGCGGTGTCAGAGGAAAGCTCCAAAAATAGTCAAAGACTCCAGTCACCCAAGCCATAGACTGTTCTCTCTGCTACCGCACGGCAAGCGGTACCGGAGTGCCAGGTCCAAAGGGCTCCTTAACAGCTTCTACCCCCAAGCCATAAGACTGCTGAACAATTAATTAAATGGCCACCCGGACTATTTACATTGACCCCCCCCCCCCATTTGTTTTTACACTGCTGCTACCCGCTGTCTATTATCTATGCATAGTCACTTTACCCCTACCTACATGTACAAATTACCTCGACTAACCTGTACGCCCGCACATTGACTCGGTACAGGTACCCCCTGTATATAGCCTCGTTATTTTTATTTTATTGTGTTACTTTTTATTATTATTTACTTTAGTTTATTAAATATTTTCTTAACTCTTTCTTGAACTGCATTGTTGGTTAAGGCCTTGTAAGTAAACATTTAACGGTAAGGTCCACACCTGTTGTATTCGCTGCATGTGACAAATTAAGTTTGATTTGATTTGACCTGACTGCATTTCGGAGTAGTAACCTATTTTAGTGGGCAAATGCTCTCCTTCAATGGCCACTGGTACGCTGGAGAAGTGTGCTCTTCACGGATGAATCCCGAGCAGATGGCGTCGTGTGGGTGAGCGGTTTGCTGATGTCAACGTTGTGAACCGAGTGCCCCATGGTTGTGGTGGGGTTATGGTATGGGCAGGCATAAGCTGCAGACAACCAACACAATTGCATTTTACCGATTTTGGCTTTTTGAATGCACATGACGAATGCACATGACGAGATCCTGAGGCCCATTGTCGTGCCATTCATCCGCCGCCATCACCTCATGTTTCAGCATGATAATGCACGGCCCCATGTTGCAAGGATCTGTACACAATTCCTGTAAGCTGAAAATGTCCCAGTTCTTCCATGGCCTGCATACTCACCAGACATGTCTCCCATTTTGCATTTTTGGGATGCTCTGGATCGATGTGTACAACAGCGTGTTCCAGTTCCCGCCAATATCCAGCAACTTCGCACAGCCATTGAAGAGGAGTGGGACAACATTCCACAGGCCACAATCAACAGCCTGATCAACTCTATGCGAAGGAGATGTGTCTCGCTGCATGAGGTGGTCACACCAAATACTGACTGGTTTTCTGATCCATGCCCCTACCTTTTTTTAAAAGGTATTTGTGACCAACAGATGCATATCTGTATTCCCAGTCATTTATTTCAATTGACTGATTTCCTTAAATAAGCTGTAACTCAGTCAAATCTTTGAAATTGTTGCATGTTTTGAGTTTGCGAGAAAGGCATTTCACTGTACTTGTGCATGTGACATTGAAACTTGAAATGTTGCGTTTATATTTTTGTTCAGTGTATATACAGTGGGGGGAAAAAGTATTTAGTCAGCCACCAATTGTGCAAGTTCTCCCACTTAAAAAGATGAGAGAGGCCTGTAATTTTCATCATAGGTACACGTCAACTATGACAGACAAATTGAGAAAAGAAAATTCAGAAAATCACATTGTAGGATTCTTTAATGAATTTATTTGCAAATTATGGTGGAAAATAAGTATTTGGTCACCTACAAACAAGTATTAATGGCACCTGTTTGAACTTGTTATCAGTATAAAAGACACCTGTCCACAACCTCAAACAGTCACACTCCAAACTCCACTATGGCCAAGACCAAATAGCTGTCAAAGGACACCAGAAACAAAATTGTAGACCTGCACCAGGCTGGGAAGACTGAATCTGCAATAGGTAAGCAGCTTGGTTTGAAGAAATCAACTGTGGGAGCAATTATTAGGAAATGTAAGACATACAAGACCACTGATAATCTCCCTCGATCTGGGGCTCCACGCAAGATCTCACCCCGTGGGGTCAAAATGATCACAAGAACGGTGAGCAACAATCCCAGAACCACACGGGGGGACCTAGTGAATGACCTGCAGAGAGCTGGGACCAAAGTAACAAAGCCTACCATCAGTAACACACTACGCCGCCAGGGACTCAAATCCTGCAGTGCCAGACGTGTCCCCCTGCTTAAGCCAGTACATGTCCAGGCCCGTCTGAAGTTTGCTAGAGTGCATTTGGATGATCCAGAAGAGGATCGGGAGAATGTCATATGGTCAGATGAAACCAAAATAGAACTTTTTGGTAAAAACTCAACTCGTCGTGTTTGGAGGACAAAGAATGCTGAGTTGCATCCAAAGAACACCATACCTACTGTGAAGCATGGGGGTGGAAACATCATGCTTTGGGGCTGTTTTTCTGCAAAGGGACCAGGACGACTGATCCGTGTAAAGGAAAGAATGAATGGGGCCATGTATCGTGAGATTTTGAGTGAAACCCTCCTTCCATCAGCAAGGGCATTGAAGATGAAACGTGGCTGGGTCTTTCAGCATGACAATGATCCCAAACACACCACCCGGGCAACGAAGGAGTGGCTTCGTAAGAAGCATTTCAAGGTCCTGGAGTGGCCTAGCCAGTCTCCAGATCTCAACCCCATAGAAAATCTTTGGAGGGAGTTGAAAGTCCGTGTTGACAGCGACAGCCCCAAAACATCACTGCTCTAGAGGAGATCTGCATGGAGGAATGGGCCAAAATACCAGCAACAGTGTGTGAAAACCTTGTGAAGACTTACAGAAAACATTTGACCTGTGTCATTGCCAACAAAGGGTATATAACAAAGTATTGAGAAACTTTTGTTATTGACCAAATACTTATTTTCCACCATAATTTGCAAATAAATTCATTAAAAATCCTACAATGTGATTTGTCTGTCATAGTTGACGTGTACCTATGATGAAAATTACAGGCCTCTCTCATCTTTTTAAGTGGGAGAACTTGCACAATTGGTGGCTGACTAAATACTTTTTTTCCCCACTTTATTTAAAATGTTGTTAGTATTAAGATAAATATTTGTGGACATTATTTTTAGAGTGTCCCGTCTTTCAAGAATCCCTGCGCTCTAAAACAGCACCATTTTCTCTCAGCCTCATAGCAAAATGTGTAAAATAGTATGAGATTCGCTATAATACTGCACATTTTTCTTTCAGCCCAGAGGACATTTCTCCAAAAAGTACAATCTTTGTCCCCATGTGCAGTTGCAAACCGTAGTCTGGCTTTTCTATGGCCGTTTTGGGGCTTCTTCCTTGCTGAGCAGCCTTTCAGGTTATGTCGATATAGGACTCATTTTACTGTAGCTAAAGATACTTTTGTACCGGTTTCCTCCAGCATCTTCACAAGGTCCTTTGCTGTTGTTCTGGGATTGATTTGCACTTTTTGCACCAAAGTACATTCATCTCTACGATACAGAACTCGTCTCCTTCCTGAGCGGTATGACATCTGCGTGGTCCCATGGTGTTTAAACTTGCGTACTATTGTTTGTACAGATGAACGTGGTACCTTCAGGCGTTTGGAAATTGCTCCCAAGGATGAACCAGACTTGTGGAGGTCTACAATTTATTTTCTGAGGCCTTGGCTGATTTCTTTTGATTTGCCCATGATGTCAAGCAGGCACTGAGTTTGAAGGTAGGCCTTGAAATACATCCACAGGTACACCTCCAATTGACTCAAATGATGTCAATTAGCCTATCAGAACCTTCTAAAGCCATGACATCATTTTCTGGATTTTTCCAAGCTGTTTAACGGCACAGTCAACTTAGTGTATGTACATTTCTGACCCACTGGAATTGTGATACAGTGAATTATAAGTGAAATAATCTGTCTGTAAACAATTGTTGGAAAAATTACTTGTGTCATGCACAAAGTAGATGTCCTAACCGACTTGCCAAACTATAGTTGATTAACAAGAAATTTGTGGTGTGGTTGAAAAACAAGTTTTAATGACTCCAACCTAAGTGTATGTAAACTTCCGACTTCAACTGTAGGTCAAATTAAGATCCTACATATGTAGCGCTAGAGAGCATGACTCCCAGTATGCAGTAATGCCAAGTCTCATAGATTTGGCACAAGACACAGAATTTTTGCCTTATTTGCAGTGACACATCTTCCTGTAGTGTGTACAGTGGCTCAGTCAGGATCACAACCATGCATAAAGGTTTGAACAGATACAGTATATAGTTTGCAGGAATAAATCACTTGAAGATTTAGTCCGTTTTTTGTCTACATTTGCTGTCTATTTTTTTGTATTGTAATGGCCATCTGTCATGTGTACCTGCTTGTGTCTCATCTAGCTCGGGGACGCCTCTCCATGCCACAGTGTCAGTGTGAGCCACAGCCCCACCCTGGGGTTCCGAGGGACCAGGAGTGGGCCAGAGACGGCAGAGGACCATCCAGCCAGCAGGGAGGGCAGTGTGAAGACTGTGAGATGTGTCTGCGGTGTAGGAAAGTCCAATACAGTCCTCATAACACCAGGTAGGACTGTGCAGAGGCAGGATTTGTGTATAATGAATTATTCCTAATGCTTGGAAAGAAGTGTATAGCACTGGGCAGAAAGGATGTATTTCTGTTGACGGGCCCTGTCTGAAATGTTATCGTTAGCCTTGGGTCTGCAGAAACCACACATACTTAGTATGAACTTTGTATGTAATGTATGTAATGTATTGTGCATGAATGTGTTTTCATAATATTATTATTTTTTTTGTCATTTAGCAGACGCTCTTATCCAGAGCGACTTACAGGAGCAATTAGGGTTAAGTGCCTTGCTCAAGGGCACATCGACAGATTTTTCACCTAGTCGGTTCGGGGATTAGAACCAGCGACCTTTCGGTTACTGGCACTATGCTCTTAACCACTAAGCTACCTGCCGCCCATGTATGAGTTGAGTCTTAATATGAGCATGAGTCCACGAAGAGCATGTTTATTTGTGCAGTGTGTGTGTGTGTGTGTGTGTGTGTGTGTGTTATGCCTGTCCATGTGTGTATGTCTTGTGTACGCTGATGCGAGGACTGATGTTTCTGGGTTAATTATTACACAAGGTAAGCCAGTCAAGCGGCAGGAGAGAGATGCAACCCTGCATTTCCCCAGGCATTAATTTTCAGCTTCCATACAGAACAACCCATTTTTCTTTTTCTGTGATGCCAGTAGAAGTCAAACACAACTCTGATAGTTTGAAGGATGCATTTGTGTGATGGTAAAATAATTTTAAATTGCTTGTGGTTGTTTATTTTGCTTAACAAGCGGTTTGAGATTCTGTCCGTTATGAAAAGCGCTATAAACGTTCAATAAATTATTATAATTATTATAATAGATATTTACTCCACAAAATCCTTAACTGTGGTGTGTTTTCTTTAACAAATGTGTTGTGATGTGCCATTCTAGATGTATTTATATCATGTGACTTCTGTTAATTTAGCCCCTGACTTTCTGGACCTGTGTCTGTGGCTCTGTTTTGTCAATTCCATTTTCCTGTTTGCTTACGGTTTACAATTTTAGTAAATTGCTACTTGTGTGCCGTGTTGTTTTTGTCACTGCCGAGGAGAGTGGAACTCATTGAACCAGGGAGAATTCTATGGAGAGCGGGGGAAATTAGTGCTAACCCACAGCTTATCTCCCAGGCTTTAATTAGCACATGAACCATGAAGGGACCCCCACTGACTCTCACAGCACTTAATAGACAGGCTGGATTTAGCATTTTAATTTCTGGTGTTGACGTTGAACTGACAGAAAGTAGACGTTGCTCTGAATCATAGATAACGCAGAGGGAAACATGCCCTGCAAGAATGTTACTTGTCATTACCATGTTGGATTGTGCGTTTGAGGGTTCCCTCGTTCAGACTGCTGGGCTCAGAAGTGGCCTCTGGCAGGGCATTGATTGACTCTGGAGGCTGAGGTCAGGTCAGGGATCACTGATGGACTCTAGGGCATATTTGGCAGAATCTCAATTGCATACTCCTCGCGTCCTCTCTCCTCGCCTCCTTCTCAAAACCCATTGGAGGAGAAGTTCACCTCTGGCTTTCTCATCCAATGGGTTTTGAGAAGGAGGCGAGGAGAGAGGAGCGAGGATGCGAGGTTTATGCAATTGAGATTCTCGCACTGTGCTGATAGGCCTTGATGGAGAGTATGGTCTGGTGCGGTGTTATGAGGAAGTCAGTACAGTACATTTGAAACACATCCATTAATTTTTAACCATCCACACATAAAGATCTCCCACTTTCAAACTTTTCACATATTTTGGAATGATTTGTGAGAAAAATGCTGTATTTACTCAACATTTAACAATGTATATACGATTAGTGATTGTCTGTGTTTCAAAATGTATTTCCTATCCACACAGTGTAGGACTGGAGACTCTCTCAGACATTAATGAGAGGCTACAGCGTTCGTTACAGGACATCATTGATTGGCTATCTGTGAAGGATGAGGAGCTATCTGACAGTTTGCCTTTACATGGAGATATAACAAGCTACAAGCATCAGAGTGAGGTACATCAGGTAGGCCAAAACAATCTAGAAGATATACATTTTATTTGTTTGACTTTTATTGTGTATTTATTGCAGGATATGTACACAACAGACGTGCCATATATAAATCAAATACGAGCATAATAATGGCCTTGTACAGTTATTTTACATTAAGCCATTGTTTATGGGGTGGTTGGCAAGAATGGTTTAGATGATCTTTAAATGCCCATGCAAAATCATCTCTACAGTCTTTGACGTCTGTCAGTTGTACTGAATCGCAAACTCCCAATGCATGCAATGTATGAAATGTAGTCCAAGTGAAATTATAAATAGAGAGAGAGTACTTCAACCCACATTATGATGTAGTCTGAAAGTATTGTCATTGGAAATCAACACAGATTCAGTCTGGAGCCTGAGCTTGTGAATATTTCTTCTCTTGTTTGCTCCTGGCTATATTTGCCAGTCCACAGAGGTCTGTTATCTAATTCAGTTACAAGGGAGAAAAAAACAAGATATTCAGTGTCTTATGTATAGGGTAGTACATTTTACATTTACATTTTAGTCATTTAGCAGACGCTCTTATCCAGAGCGACTTACAGTTAGTGAGTGCATACATTTTCATACTGGCCCCCCGTGGGAAACGAACCCACAACCCTGGCGTTGCAAGCGCAATGCTCTACCAACTGAACTACAGGGAACTAGCCCCCTGGGGAAACTAGCCCCTCCCCACAAGATGCCACCAAATTATTTTCCCAACACTTTCCCTGGCTGTCACTGTTCTTGCTGAACGAAAAATGTCCTCTGTGTCATCACAACTTTTGGAGATATTTCAACAAAACGATTTAGTGGTAAGTTGATTTTAAAAAATGAAATGTATTCCAATGAAGTTAGATCTATATATATTTTTTAAATATACAAGTAGGAAAGCCTTAAAATAATTAATCCACTTGTTTAGAGAGAAAAATTGGGCTACTAGGCTACTAGGGGGTAACTGGCCCCTGGGGGCGATTTACCCCTTTATGGTTATGAATGTGTTTCTACCTGTCATTTAGACAATGACTAGCCCAGTTAGTGCTAGTTTATGCTAACTTGCTAGCTAGCAACTTCACTAGCAGTAAATGCTAGCCAGCTAGCTAGTTAGCATAAGCTGCTAGGAGTGCTAGCTAGCAATCTTACTACCAGATCGTTTGAGGTAAAATACATAAAAAAATATAACGTAACTTCATTTCAGTTGTAAATGTTTCCACTAGTGACTGATAGCTTTACAGTTAATGCAACTTTATAGCATTTTAGCAATTTTACACAGCATTTTATGTCATATAGCTAGATAGCTATCTATGTTTTTAAGAGAGAGCTTTTCAATTGGCATCTCTCCCCCTGTTTTCAGTCACAGGTGGGGATTAGGTGTGAGCAGTGCAGGAGGTGGGCTCATGAGTTGTGCTCCAATTTTACTGGGGATAGCTTTATTTGTGACCTACAGGTACAAATTAGAATCGTGCAATAGCAGAGCATAAGAGAGTTGCCACATCAATGTTACACTGAGTTAATTAGTTAAGTTATTGTTATTAAATGTTATTTTCCAATGTTATTTTATGTTATTATTTATATTCCATTCCAATATTATATTCCAATGATTAAAAAAAAAAAGATTTAAAAACAACTATAATGCAAAACCTTTTGCTCCTGAATGTCATTTTAAAGACTGCTGGGATTTAAAATCTTGCATTATTCAAATCATATTTAGTGCAAATGTACATCATGGATTGTATGGAAAAGGGACAACAAAGAAAGAACAAAGGAAAATTAATGTGCAGGTGAGTTAAAAAGAGGGACTTTACATCAAACCAGCAGTTACCCTGGTACTTTATAAAAATGCCCCTTTTCTAAAAACAAAATTTCATGAATTAACTAAAAAAAGTGTAAACTGTAGCCATTTATTTCTTATAGTTTATTCGCCTAAGCATGACCTTCATCCACATACCAATTTTTTTCTCAAAACGTTGCATTTTTGTGTCCGCAATTAGATATTGTTCTTAGGGGGGGGGCTTGTTACACCCTAGTATCCTGCTCCAGTTTTCTGGTTTTATTAACGTTAAGTCTTGTTATGCTGCTATGTGCAGCACTTAACCCAGAGCAGATAGAATGATGATGGAACGGATGTCTGTTCTGTTGATCTCATCCGTAGGTTTTTGTTGAGGAGTTGAAGTCTCGGGGACCTTTTATTTACTCTGTGTTGGAGTCTGCTCAGGCCTTTCTGTCACAATGTGCCACTGTGGATCCAGATGACAACAAAGGTGGGGAAGTCAACAAGATATGGCAAACCCAATTATCAGATCGACAAGTTACGAAGTTAGTTATGTGTTCCTGGTTAGGAAGAAAATGCTTATCTCATAATTAGCTGAATCCTGATTTGTCATTGTCTCTCCAGTGAGATCTGCCCTTTCTGTTTCTCTGCATCTCCTGTCTGTAGACATGAGTACTCGGCAGCAGAGTGGCGGTCGCTGGGTGTGGAGGCAGGCTGCAGTGGCCGGAAACCTGTGGGAGAGTGTGATGTCACGCAGCGTTCAGCGCCACAAACACATGCAGTGTACTCTGGAGCGCCTCACAGAGCTACAGGGGGCCGTGGAGGAGCTGTGCCTGGACATGGAGCAGGCTGAGGGGGTGCAGGAGGCCTGGGGGCCCATAGGAGACCTCCTCGTTGACTCACTGCAGGACCACATCGATGCCACCAAGGTATGCAGGAATCAACAACACACAACCATTTTTGTTTTCCACTACTAAGGTCAATTTTTCTTTTCCATTATATAATGACTACTGAGCCGAACATGGAAAGTGAGCTGATATGCTCCAAATGCTTGGGCATAGAATAACAAAATTAGCAACTATGCTCTACACATTATATAGTTTGATCTATTCTAGATTGCTTTAGCAGCAGATACAGCACATTTGGTCAAAGACCCTATGTAGGCTACATACCAGGATATTGTGTTATGATTGGCAAATGGTTGCCATGTTAGTGACTGGTATGGCCTCTATGTTGTAGTTGTTCCAGGAGGAGCTGACTCAGGGTCAGGCGGGCATGAAGCATGTCAACCAGCTAGTCCACCAGCTGACCATCTCCAGTGTCCCCCTGTCAGAGGACAACACCCAGGGTCTGGAGCAACTCAACACCAGGTGGAAACTGCTGGAGGTACAAAAAAAGGGAGTGGCTAAAATCCAATATGAGATTTTACAATGCTGATCTTCCCCTGGAAGCATGTTCTCCAGCAGTCTAATTTTCCCATCACTTTTCTAAAGCCTCTTGATGTCAGATCCCATGTAGTATGTTACTCTGTCCCTGGGAATGTGCTGCAGCATGCTTAGAGATGTGTGTGCTGTAGTGTGTGTGTGTTTCCCTGTTGCAGGAGTCCACTGAGAAGAGGCTGAGGCATCTGCAGGATGCCCACAGAGACTTTGGGCCCAGGTCCCAGCATTTCCTCTCTGGTAAGGTGTTTCTCTCTCTCTCTGCTGGAGAACCCCCTCAGAACGCTGATTATATTTGCCATGCTGTGTGCCCTTGCTCTTCTGGTTACATTTGCCATGTTACATTATTGTGCTTGCTTGATTTACATTGTTTTATTTTAGGTTCAGTGCAGATTCCATGGGAACGTGCCATATCGCCCAACAAAGTGCCATACTACATTAAGTAAGCATAAATAAAAACACAAAAAATTTCTAAACCAGTGTGAAAAAATACAAGTCTACCAGCATGTCACAACAACTTCCCTCTTTTCGTGACCCGTGTTCCAGTTTGTTTACTGTGACCACCATATTTACTGTGACCCCTGTCCCTCTACGTCTCTCTACATTTTACTCTCTCTCGCTACAGCCATCAAACCCAGACCACTTGTTGGGATCATCCACAGATGAAAGAGCTCTACCAGGCACTTGGTAAGACTGCAGAAAAATATCTGCATACACCTGATTGCAAGGATGCTTCCTATTATGGTGTTGATCTAAACATGCCCTTATTTACCATCTTTCCCCAGCTGATCTGAACAATATCAGGTTCTCTGCCTACAGAACAGCCATGAAGCTTCGACGTGTACAACAGGCCTTGAGATGTGAGTGTGTTACTGTGTCCGGTGGCCTGTAATAGTAATAGCCCCACTCAGTCACCGCAGCAGTAGTGTTACAGCTAGCACCCTTCTCCCTTTCCCCTCTACCCTCAGTGGACAAGCTGAGCCTTGGCTGTGTGGCAGCGGTGTTCCAGGGCCTGGGCTCGGGGTACAATGACCCCGTGGCGGACGCTGTGGAGGTTATGGATGTCCTGGAGGTCATCCATGCTCTGACCAGCCTGTACGAGCAGCTGCAGGAGAAACATGGCATCTTGCTCGACATCCCCCTCTGTGTGGACATGTGTCTCAACTGGCTGCTCAATGTATATGACAGGTCTGCCTAACCGTAACATAATCTTATTTTTCTACAGTTTATTCCCCTTTTTGTCTATCCTTTAGCCCTTCCATTCCCAATCTCTATCTATTCCATAACAAATCCCTCTCTCACTCTGTCCCTTAAATATTTTCCCTCCCTCCCTCTCCATCTCTCTCTGCATCTTCCTCTCATCCTCTCTTCCTCTAAGAGACATCCTAGGTCAGCCCCACATCAGGGGTTGCTCTCTCTATCTTTTAGATCATTTAGCTACAGTACATCACTCTTAGCAGGGCTCCATGGATTAGCCATTCAGTTTAGTGAACAATATTCCCCAGGGCAACATCACCAACCAAGTATCAAATGAATATCCATTGTTGCGTGACAACACTCAGTTTGTGTGTGTGTGTTTTATACTGCGGCCTTTACGCTCTTGGGATAGCGTGCTATAGTCCCTGGGAGATTGTGTGTGTGTGTGTGTGTGTGTGTGTGTGTGTGGCTATAGATGCTTTCCTATGCACTTCAGCTGAGCGGCTAAAGGCCAATACAGTGAGTATAGCGCTCTGGGGCAAACACCTGGATATCTTATGAATGTGCGTGGATGTGCATTTGTGTGTGAGAAGGAGAGAGATAGTGAAGGTGCATTACTGAATTATCTCATGCTTAGATGGCAGTTGACTCCGTTGAGTAAAAATGTATACTGCTGTGAAAAAACATCCACCTCACCCCATACTGCGTGGTAATCAAACATTGAGATTTCCTATTTTTCTCTCTCTGCACCCTCTAGTGGCCGTAATGGGCAGGTGAGAATCCTATCTTTCAAGACAGGACTGGTGTGCCTATGCAATGCTGACATTCAGGAGAAGTGCAAATGTAAGATGTGCTTTGTTACTGTATATGATGCATTTTCAATCAACCGTAACTTCCCTGTAGCTCAGTTGGTAGAGCATGGCGCTTGCAACGCCAGGGTTGTGGGTTTGTTTCCCACGGGGGGCCAGTATGAAAAATGTATGCACTCACTAACTGTAAGTCGCTCTGGATAAGAGTGTCTGCTAAAATGACGTAAATGTAAATAATCACCACAAGCAAGTTTAAGAGTACAGAGAAGTGTAGGTTGTCTCCTATATGTCCTGTCTGAGGAGAGGGTATGTTAGATCTGTTCTGGCAGGTGTCTGAGCCTGGTGGATGTGCTGATCAGCAACACCTCAGTGCCCTGCTCCAGGAGATAATCCAGATCCCAAGGCAGCTAGGAGAGGTGGCCGCTTTCGGAGGGAGCAATGTAGAGCCAAGCGTGGCCAGCTGCTTTCGCATGGTGAGCTAGGATTTACATTGGTCAAACTAGCTGCTATTGTTAAGTATAGCCCAAGGTTTTCCCCATCTAATTCCCTGTTATTGTGCAAGATTACAATAAGTAAAATCCAATCTGTGTTAAAAACTGATACTTGTCATTAAATTATATCCAATCTTGATATGTGATGTTGTTGATTATCAAAGTGGATTTTGAACATTCTTTATGCATCTGTAAGGTGCAATCTATTCCAAATAATGTGAGCAGCAGAGTAATGTCACAGAGGATTTGAGGTTGTTTATAAGTCTTTGAGAGTAGCTCTGAGACCATGGTGGAGACATGCAGATGCCTGATTAAACACTGTGAGCCCTATTCAACTAACCATCTATGATGACAGTTATGATAACTCAAACCATATAATGTTAAAAGCTAATGTCAAACATTAATGATAAATACTGAGACATCAATGCCTTGTTTCTGATAGGCTCTTTTAGATCAGCCAGTCATATGCTTCTGTTTCATCTTGACATGTCTGAGTGAGATTAGTAAACATTAAACTATTTCAAAGGGGTCATGGCATTTTAATAGGCTGTGTTAACTTATCTGAAAGGGCTAATTACCACAGGCTCTGTCACTCTGACCTTTTGCTATCTGTCAGCTTGTTTGTGTGGGCTTTACGGAGGTACTTATGTGTACATTGGGGTATTTGTGTACGTTGTGTGTATTTGTATGTGCACATGCATGTCTGTTTGTGTAGTAAATATGTGATTTGTCCTCTGGTATGTCTCCATGATAGAAGCAGTCCTTCACTCCAGTGGCATCGGGATGCTACTATAGTAGACAGGCTTTATCAGGCTCCACAGCTGTATTAGAGCACACCACTGGAACCCAAAAGGGAATGACAATTTAATTATGCAATTTCTCTCATCTAGGCCCTCAAGAAATGTAACATGGAGTGCCTTTCAAACCATTTTAATGAGAATTTAGTCCAGTAATGAACATTAGTGACTCATGAGGCTTTTCTTTAACATTTCTTATCATCAATGTCAGGAATTATTTCTGGCAATAAATGACTGTAAAGCGCCAGTAATTTGCTACAGCTCTACTTATTCAGTCTCTGAAGGGGACCAGCTGCCCTCAAGCTGCCAGAGAGCACGGCCCCTGCCTCGGGATCTCTGGTGGTCTCATGGTCCTCTTCTCCTCCCCACTGTGTGGCTGCAGGCTCCTGGGAAGACCTCCATCCAGCTGTCCCACTTCCTGGAGTGGATGAGCCTGGAGCCCCAGTCCGTGGTGTGGCTGCCCGTGCTGCAGCGAGTGGTCCAGGCAGAGAATGCGCAACACCAGGCCAAGTGCTCCATCTGCAAACAGTGTCCCATCAAAGGCTTCAGGTGAGCCACAGGGCCTCGACAGGGGAACTCCATTTCAACCATAAAGAGAATGTCAATAATGTTTAGGCTTTTAACTCATTTTCCCCCAGATACAGAAGCCTCAAGCAGTTCAATGTGGACATTTGTCAGAGCTGCTTCCTGTCCGGGCGTAGTACCAAGGCCAAGGCTTTAATTTACCCCATCATGGAGTACTACACCCCAGTAAGACTAATTATATTATGCCATACTACACCCAAGCATGGCTACAAGAATATTCCCATGGAATTGAAATGTAAAATTTTTTCTGATCTCTGAACAGACCACCTCAGGGGAGAGGATGCGTGATTTTGCCAAAACACTGAAGAACAAGTTCAGATCAAAGCAGTACTTCAGCAAGCATCCCAAGAGGGGCTACCTGCCTGTACAGTCTGTCTTGAGGGCAGGGAGTGAGGAGACGTGAGTCCATATAATTAGTTCTAAAGCCTGGGAGGTCTTATGTAATGGCACATCCAGAGACTGTCAGCACAGATTGACTCCTGACTTTGATTGACATCTCTGTGCTTCCTTTAGGCCCAGCTCGTCCCCAAGGCTTCCCCACTCAGACACACACTTCAGGATTGAGCACTATGCCTGCAGGTATGAGTCAAGAAATCCTAATATAGCATCAGCCACCTGCTGCTGCCCATTAGCTGGGTAGACTTCACCCCGGGGGTGTTGGGTCAGGCTGAGTCAGAAAAGTGGGCCTGAAGCCTACCAGCGCTAGGGCCAGGAGGAGAGCACGTTGAAGGTCAGCAGGGTCGACAGAACCTTATAACCCAGTTTCTCAGGCAATGACTCCTGCAGCCTATATTTGGAACAGCTGGGCTGAGATCAGCAGCCTGCGCATAGTGAACACTACGTGCATACAAAGGCTATCCCCGGCACCGCTGTGTTTACTTCAACAAAGAAAGTATTATGTCAGCCACACATTTGTCAGTTTCTTTACTTCAATGTCAGGGAAGAAATCTCTAAAAACTTCTCTAGTAACTTCTTAATTTTAATCTGTACATTATCCATGCATGCAGTCTTTATCTGTCGCTACATTCTGCCCTCAGCAGCACTGCCCACGATGTGCCTTTTCTCTGAAATAATCTTCTCCACACAGATGAACATGATGCCACTAATGAGCATGGTGGAGTGGCGTGACTCCCTTATTTCGGCTTAATCATATTAAAACATTTAGTCTGGCATGTCCTCATTCTCTGCCAGATCATGTTTATAAAAATTTAAGCAACAAGTGAAGAAAGCACATAAATGTAATTCTGCCAAGGAAAGTGTCTACAGAAAAGCACAGAAGCCTGATTTAGGAGCAACAGTAGGAGCAACAGTTAAAGTGTTCCCCCTTGTAATGTTTAGACTGCTGCATTTGTACTTCTTGGAATTCCCTCCCATGATACATATTCCCTTTACCTCACAGTGAACTATGTTTTTACTGTCTGCTTCTGTTCAAGACTCGCTGAGATGGATGACCAGAACTGCTCCTTCTTCAATGAGAGCCTGTGAGTTTATCATATAAAGCTCTTACTTAATGATACGAAAAGATGAGACTGTGTCCTTAGAGAACATTACATTATCTTTACTCAGGTTTTCTCACATGTCCGCATAGTTCATTCTGTCCTTCCCTCTGTTAATGGCCAGGGATGAGGATCAGTACCTTGACCGCCTGGAGCAGGACTCCCTGGCCTCCTGTCATCATTACCTGGGTTATACAGGCTGTGAGACCCAGGATGAGCTGCAGAGGACACTGGCCATGCTGGAGAATGAGAACAGGTGAGAGGTCACTAACGCTCATGTCATTATCATTTCATGAGTGGTGAGATCAGTCCAATCACGTCCAAATCAAAATACTTCTGCCATCAGGGTATCAAATCATATCCAATCATAATTTGTTTACCTCTGATCTGCCATAAGAGCATAGATGAAGACATAAAAACACAAATGAGTGCCTGGGGTCACAAAGGTATAATTTCCCCCAGGGTGCTCCAGGGGGAGTACCGACGTCTGAAGTGGCAGCATGCTGAGGCCCAGGCATGTCCACACCTGAGAGAGGGCTCTGTGGACCAGGAGGACTACCAGGACCAGGCCTTGCTGGCTGAGGCCAAAGACCTGAGGCACCATAAGGGCAGGCTGGAAACCCGTATGCAGATCCTGGAGGACCACAACAAGGAGCTAGAGTCCCAGCTCCACCGGCTCAGGGAGATTCTACAACAGGTGAGTCCCAGCCAGAGATTAGCAGACAGGAGGATGCCTCGAATGCACAGTCCTGTCCACATGAAAGTGCATCGTTTTATTTCCTCATGATATTAGAAAATGTTTTGTGAGTCCAACAGAACAGAGAGGATTCAGAGGACAATGTATCGACTGGAACACCATCATCTGTGTACTCTCCTGTGTCACGAAGAGACCAGCTGGGGAGACAGCTAAGCTCAGGAGCCTCCAACACAGAACCCCCAGGTAACATACTACGCTAGTTTGATATGAGGATTAACTATCAAAGACATGTTGCCATTAGGGGCTTGTCTAGAAGGGAGCCATCATGCCTTTGTTTTCCCTCTGTGTAACCAGGGCCGGCCTTGGAGCCAGAGCAGGGTGATACAGCCTATCACCTTCAACAGGTCATAGAGCAACTGAAGAACGTCTTCCCCTTAGAGACCAGAGAGAACGGTGAGTTCAAAGGGGTGATAACCTGGCACAAAGGCTGCATTCTTCTGATAATGATCAATGGGATATCTCCACTGCATAATCCTTATCACATCAGAAAAATATGTCTGAAAAGTATGCCAGCCTTCTTTGACCGTCTCTGGATATTCTCTAAGAGTGTGTACTTAGTACATTTAAATGTCTGTTCTTTTTGGCCCCATAGGTGTAGCATCACCTTTTTGACTTGTTTGCCATTCCAGAGACCAGACTGTGAACCTAACAACATCTATCCTTAACGGATAGCCTACAAGATTCCTCTCACTATGATCGAGCACATATCACTACTAAGCTCCATGTGTGTTTTATCCACCTTAATACACATTGAAATGAATAAACAGGCTGATAATGAGAATCATGACTCTGTTTTACAAAATAAGTGTACATTATGGATGTCCAGTGGTCAAATGTACTACTGGATGGAAATCTGATGTGTTGTTTTATGGTGTCAGGCCCGTCTTTGTCTATGTGTAATATTTCGTGATGTTGATATTTTTTTACATTTTCAAGAATGAATAAATTCATAATTCAATGTTTCTCTCTAAGCATTTAATTATTTGGAACAAAAGTACATTTCCACATGCAGTTATTCAAGTCAATATTCAATATTCTGGGGGCTCAGTAATAGTTTTAATATATGAAAAAGTTATATTTCATTGTCACAATGTAGACCTACAGAGGGAACAGCCATACAAATCACTCAGTGCTTTCCATGCAAGGATATTCTCTTCTGCTATGCGGATTTAATCCACAGGATGGCACTATTTTATTGGGAAAACACAATTTTCACGCCACTATACAGAAGTAACTTTTTCGTAGCAGGTTAGGAGAATTTACACAGCAGGTTAGGATAATTATCGTAGCGGGTTAGGAGACTGAGGTTAAGGTTAGGAAAATTGTTGGAGTTAGGTTTAGCGAAAACGCTCTCCAGCCGACCCACAATTTCCGGTTTACTACCGGTATACGTCATCTACATGCGGTCTCATGATATTTTTCTTTCTTTGAGCTCCTGCGTCAGGAGTGTGCAGTCATGGTATGTTTTTTCTCCACGCATTGCTAATTTCTAATTCACAACTATTTCAAAGATGTGTATTTGCTAATGCATATACATACGAGCCAGTTGCTTGTGGCCCTGACTAACGTATTCGCAGAGGTGTTTGCTAGCCAGCCACGTAGTTGACGTTAGCTAAGCGAACACTTCTAATGTATACTTCGCAAGATCGCTAACTAACGTTACTGAAAGTGCTATCAAGCAATGTGACACAGGCTTCAGTAGAGAGGAAGCCTTAACTATAATATATTTGGTACAGTCATTTACTAGTGTTTATCTTGTATCTAGGTAAACGTACCGAAGACCCGCAGGACTTACTGCAAGAAATGTAAGAAACATCAAACTCACAAAGTTACCCAGTACAAGAAGGGCAAGGATTCTCTGTATGCACAGGGTAAGTTTGCTACGGAGTTTAACGTTAAAATCAAATGTTATTGGTCACATACACATATTTAGTAGATGTTATTGCGAAATGCTTGTAAAACTTAGGAGCTAGAAGCAGAGCTGCCATGTGTCATTACTTCCCATTCCCTGGCTACTTGAACATTCAGATGTATTTATGTGTGGTGTCTACCTCGGCATGCATTAATCCGGTAACAATGTATTTCAGGCAAAAGGAGATACGACAGAAAGCAATCTGGTTATGGTGGCCAGACCAAGCCTATTTTCAGGAAGAAGGTATGCAAGAATCATAATGGGGAAAATATTTACATATGCACTTTTCTGTTTGTTACCATGTCTACCCTACTAGTCAGCACATAAATCATTTCCATATTTTTATGTTACATGCTTGAATCCTTGTGATTTGTCCTGCAGGCTAAAACTACAAAGAAGATTGTGTTGAGGCTGGAGTGTGTGGAGCCCAACTGTCGGCAAAAGAGAATGGTGCCCATCAAGCGATGCAAACACTTTGAACTGGGAGGAGACAAGAAGAGAAAGGTAATAATACTGGTTCTCTTCAGTTTTGAGAGCCAGCAAACTGTGTATAGTAGGGTAATTGCAAAAGGTAGGCACTAAGCAGAGGGTGGAGTTAATGAGATTGACACTAAGACAATTGAGCTTCTTATATAGTGATTTTAATCTATTTGCAGCAATCTGTGAAATGTTATATTTTTTGACATCTCTATCCTTTTTCTTACTCTTTCAGGGCCAGGTCATCCAGTTTTAAGCTGTTTCTCTTTTCTTGGGTCACTTATCAATAAAATATGTATTGTAACTGTACCTGAACTTGTACTGTATTTACTGTTCTCACTTGATAAACCTCTAGTATACGTTGAAACATTGGAACCAGTTAGACAAGTGATCTTGAGTTGTCTGACACATGCAGTTACACATTAAATGTACTGTATCTGTAATGAAGTTTGGATGATACCTTCCACCTAATTGACTCTCAATTGTGTAAAGCAAAAGTGCTACATAATTGTCTTCCTTGGGGGCAGAATGTAGGTTATAGTTGTTAAATACTTCTCGGGAAAACAAACTAGATAATTGCCATGTATTATTCAGTGTTTCTAATGGAATAGCTGTGCATTTAATACTCCTGAAGATGTACACCAGTGATCATCAACTAGATTCAGCCACGGGCCAATTTTTTTATTGAGAGGATGGTTGGGGGGCCGGAACATAATTACAGATGCAAATTGACCGCAAGAATCCCAAACAGATATATTTGACTAAAACTTTATTTCAAACCTTGCTTACATTTGTATACCATCACGTCTCTTTATTATACTTGGGAACAGATTTTCCTAATTAAATTCAGTTTGAGCTGATTTTCTGAAAAACACACAACAAATGTTTTTTTTAGCTCAGAAAACATGGTTGGCTGAATAAAACCGGGCTGCCAGTTGGGGAACCCTGATGTATGCTGTATCCTGAACTTCCATTCCCCTCTTATGTATGTTTTCTTTCACTGACTTATAATTAAAGAATGGACACAAGTTTAAGAGCATCACTGAGACCGTTACAACAGCAGTCATTTTCACACTAATCATTCATCTGGCTTTTTGATTTGTTTATTTGACCATTTTAAACAAGTCCAAGGTGCATTCATTGAGGATGACAAAGCCAATACTTGACACAGTACGATAATGAAGGACATTACCTAACTAGACAATTCAAAATGTCCAGCATTTACTTCTGTTTATTCATGTACCAATAATGTACTATTACATAAAGTGTACCATATTAGGTTGAAATCAATATATTTGTAGGGGTTTATGATGTGGCAATCCACAAGAGTACAAAAAATATATATTTTACAATATGTCCAACATTTTCCATGCAGTCCTGTTTCAATATCTGGGCTTGTGCTCTCCATGGGGGTGACATTAAAAGTATCCGTAGTGCAAGAAGGCCTATATACCATTAGTGCATTCCATTGGAATTGTACAAAAAACAAATGGTTAAGGATGACACTTGGAAGAGACATCAGGTTTGCTTACTTTCATAAACAATAAATGGAACTGGACATGCAGTCAGTTATTTTTCCATTGGCACAGCTGATGGATTTCTAACGTTGTCTCAAAGTGTTCTGTTGAAGACTAGATTCAACTCCGTACTGGTTTCTAGTGATATAATTCAGTCCTCAGATGTTGGTTTGTCACAGAGTAGCTCGGATGGCTTCATTCCGCAGCACTTTGTAGGTAAGCCAATAGAAAACATTGAAGCAGAGGAAACTCAGCGGGAACACAGCCCTGGATATAGTGTCAATCCTTTTTGCCCGATCTACAAACCGCCTGCGGATGTCATACAGTGGAAACCCAGGAGGTAAGGCCTGAAAGATTGGGGCATCCATCTCTGGTGGTGCATCTTCTGCTACTCCATAACTATGGAGAAAATAGGCCTGGCTCTGCTCTGCCAGCTCCTGCTCCTCCTAGGAAAGAACAAAAGGAAAAGGGTAAAATGTCTGTCACCCTCATAACCTGCAACATTTTCTCCACATTACTTGCCACATACAGTATTATGATTATTCAAGTGTGGCAAAGTCAAAAAGGACTTGGATTTTGTGATGAATACATTTCACATGAGAGAGATTACACAACAGATAGCGATGACAACACCTTATCACTCAGTGAGATCTACCATTTTGTTTTTCTAAGTGAACAAACAGTGGAATACCCCCCATTAAACTAGACTCCAGTCAGCGTGAGAAGAGTAGGAGTTTTTACCCTGGCACAGACACTGCACTGCTGAGGGCCAGACAAGGTCCCCTGGCAGGCGTTGTTGCCTGGCACGCTGTTACCTTTCACTTTGCTGCTATCACCACTTCCCTGCTGATAGAGCCAGAGCAACATGGAGGTTTAGCAGGCATACGGGAATACTGTGATTCAATCTAAACAACATGCAGTGACACATTACTGTAGACATTCAAGTACATTATTATGTAAACAGAGTCTGAGAAATACCAACTGAATGTGTAAAGATCTAAAAATAAGATGAGACTTAGGTAAAAAGAAAGTAGGCTACCCGGTCCCTGAAACTGATCTAGATGCAGGTGTCAGGGAAAAGTATTGGGATGTTTCATAATATAGTGGAAGGCTAACTGTGGAGCTACAGACAAACTACTACCACAATTCAGTTAATTCCAGATCATTTTTTATAATTTTTTTGATCACTTTCTTTTGGGTTACTTATTATTTTGAGATCCAAAGTGAAACGGCAAGCCAAGCTGTTGAGTAGAGCAATTATACCCAGAAGAAGGAAGAAAATGACTTGAATTTAGAACAGGTCTGTGGATCTCCCAGCATGAGATACAACAGCCAGCTGAACTGTATAACTGCTGCATAACGGGGCATAGAGGGAATAGCAGGTGACAGCAGCCTGAGGGGTGGGCTGCACAGGGGCTTGGACTCACAGTTCTCTGCCGCTGTTGTTCTTTGATCTTTTTCCTCAGTCTGAAGAACTCTTTGTGCTGTCGTGAGACAAAGTTTACTGCTGCATACTCCAGCAGTGCAGCGAACACAAAAAGAAGACACACAGCCATCCAGATATCAATGGCCTTCACATAAGACACCTACACAACCCACAAAAAAATTAATAAGGGTTAGAACTTCAACATGCAGATAAACAGCATGATGTTTTCCACCACTGAAATAACGTGCAATGATTAGGTATTAAGTATAAAACTGGTAACTGGCATTTTCTGAATTAAAGCATCTTTTGAAATCAATTTTGATTTAATGTATGTAGGTTGTCCAGCTAGAACACCTGAGCAAAATATAAAACATTTCCTCTCTTACCTTAGGCAAGGATGCCCTGGACCCAGAGCTTTGTGTTGTCATGGTGAGCACTGTGGTGATACCAAGGCCCACTCTAGCTGGGGCGGCGTCCATGTTGATCCAGAAGGAGACCCAGGAGAGGATGACGGTGAGAAGGCTGGGGATGTACATCTGGATCAGGTAGTAACCCATCTGTCTCTCCAGGTGGAACTTTACCTCGATGCAGGCAAATTTACCTGCCAGCAGATGCCAGATGGTTAGAGATGAAGACATTGTCATTAAGCAAACTGTGGCAATAACATACCATTGAGAGTCCAGAATCTACCTGTGTTGTAGTGCTTGGTGCAGTAGCCTAAGTCTTTCTCCTCTTTCAACACAAACTGAGGAAGCATCAGGTCATCAGCCACCTGCACAGGGCCAATGTCCAGCCACTGGAAACACAGGTCATTCATGGTGTAGCCAACTAGAGCACAGAGGAGAAGGGAGAACATGGGTTTCTTTTATTCATGATCTAGCCCACTACAGAGGGAGAGACAAGTTTACTTATAAAGTTGTCAACATCAAAGCCTGTCTAGTCAAGTGTAGAGAAAGGGGAAAAAGAGGCACCAGGGAGTGAAACTAGCCGAGTGCAAAGAATGGATAAAAAATAGAGAAAATAAAACTCACAGCTTTCCAGCTGCATAGAGCACGTCTGAATGTCCATAGGGAAGTTCATCAGATCCATGGGGCAGGACAGAATCAGCGTTAACCTGGCTCACAGAACCAGAAGCATGTAGTGAGAGGGTGAACAGAAGACAGGTACGGGGAGTTTTGTACACTAACATTACCTGTGGCTTCAAATTGAATGTTGATAATTATTGTTACTGATCACGTTATAAATAATACAATTGTACTCTTATATATAATTATGAGGAGACACTACTGTTTTAGAGACACTGGTCACCTGATACTGTAGAGGACATTCCCATTTTGGAATATCCGCAGCAGTTTGTTGTCTGTGGTGACTTCGTGAAAGTTTGCCCCTTTTTCATTGGCAAAGAAAAGGTCAGGTTTCCAGATGGAGTCCAACATGGAAGGATCCAGATCCAGAGAGTCATCAGGGTACTCCTTATAGGCTAGTCGTGGGTCGTTCCATTGTTGCCGTAGAAACACATTGAGCCGATAGTCCTATGGTAGTTATAGTATAAACGAGACAGTCTATTAAAGGGAGTGAACAGACCCTGTTTGGAGGAAAGGTGGATGAGTATAAAAATCCCTCACCATAGTGGTTTCTGTGATGGACCCAAAGCTGTTGATGAACAGGTTGATGGTGACATTCACAGGAGGACCTGCAAAATAGTCCATGAGAAACGCAGCTACTCATATATACTGTATCATAATTTCAATGTGTTTCACTATGCTGTTTTCTGATACAGACAATTATTTATTTGCTTAGCATGTACAGTAAAATGCATTACTCATACAGTACATGTTCATCCATCATTCATCCATGTTTATTAATATTTAAAGGAAAAGATCTGTGGCAGAGCATCTGTGGCAAATATAAATGGATCTGAAAACATTGTCAGGTCTATTTAATGACAGGGGATAGTATTGTCTTCCAGCGCACAATGGAATAAGAACTCTCTTACTGTATATACTGAACAAAAATATAAACGCAACATGTAAAGTGTTGGTCCCATGTTTTATGAGCTGAAATAAAAGATCCCAGACATTTTCCATATGCACAAAAAGCTTATTTCTCTCAAATTCTGTGCACAAATTTGTTTACATCCCTGTTAGTGAGCATTTCTCCTTTGCCAATATAATCCATCCACATGACAGGTGTGGCATATCAAGAAGCTGATTAAACAGCATGCTCATTACACAGGTGCACCTTGTGCTGGGGACAATAAAAGGCCACTCTAAAATGTGCAGTTTTGTCACACAACACAATGCCACAGATCTCAAGTTTTAAGGGAGCGTGCAATTGGCATGCTGACTGTAGGAATGTCCACCAGAGCTGTTGCCAGAGAATTGAATGTTCATTTCTCTACCATAAGCCGCCTCCAACGTCGTTTTAGAGAATTTGGCAGTACGTCCAACCGGCCTCACAACCGCAGACCACGTGTAACCACGCCAGCCCTCCACATCTGGCTTCTTCAGCTGCAGGATAATCTGAGACCAGCCACCCGGACAGCTGATGAAACTGAGGAGTATTACTGTCTGTAATAAAGCCCTTTTGTGGGGAAAACTCATTCTGATTGGCTGGGCCTGGCTCCCCAGTGAGTGGGTCTATGCCCTCCCAGGCCCACCCATGGCTGTGACCCTGCCCAGTCATGTGAAATCCATAGATTAGGGCCTAATGAATTTATTTCAATTGACTGATTTCCTTATATGAACTGTAACTCCGTAAAATTGTTGAAATTGGTGCATGTTGCGTTTATATTTTTGTTCAGTATAATAATAATAATAATACTAATACGTTTGTATAGCACTTTTCATTACAGAGTTGTCTCAAAGCTCTACTGATACTTTTTTTCATACTGTATATATACAATAAAAACAACACATTTAGAATCAAGGCAGGTAAAATAGCAATAGTGGGCTGGGTGCTAAATACATTTTAGATTGGGACTAGGACTATGAAAAAGACAGTCTGTAGAAGTGGGTTTTAAGGCCGCTTTAAAGGTTCTGAGTGATGGAGCGGCTCTCAGATGGTCAGGGAGAACATTCAATAGGCGAGGAGCAAGGGACCAGAAGGGTCGGTCCCCCATAGTTCGGAGACGTGTCTTGGGGACTTGAAGCAGTAGGGAGTGGCTGGAGCGGAGAGTGCAAGGTGGCTTGCTGATTGAGATGAGGTCGCTGGGCTTTAAATACAAGCATGACCATTTTGAAGTTGATCCTGTAGTTGACCGGTAGTCAGTGGAGTTGGACCAGGATCGGGGTGATGTGGTCTGACTTCTTGGTCCTGGTCAGGACCCTGGCAGCACTGTTCTGGATTAGTTGGAGCCTCTGTAGGGATTTGGCTGGGAGGCCCCCAAACAGCGCATTGCCGTAGTCAATCTGAGAGAAGATGAAGGCGTGGATGAGTTTCTATGCATCTGGCTGGGAGAGTGATGGTATGACCAGGCAATGTTTTTAAGATGGAAAAATTATGTTTTACATATTTGTTTAATGTGGGCATCGAAGGACAAAGAAGCTTCAAACTTGACTCCTAGGTTGGAGATGACAGAGGACAGGTGGCTGGCTTGGCCGTTGATTGCAGGGCAGATGTTTCCAGCACTGGTGACCTGCTTGGGTGTCACAATAAGCATAGCCTCAGTCTTTTTACTGTTCAACTGGAGGAAGTTCTCTTTCATCCATGCCCTGATGTCCTCTAGGCAGCTTAGGATCTGGCCGAGAGGGAGCATGTAAATTAAAGACAGGACAGGCCCCAGCACTAACCGCTGTGGGTCGCTGCATGTGACTGAGGACTCCTCCACTATTAGAAAGTCCAGATCGATGTATTGCTTCCTATTGGAGAGGTAGGAGGAGAACCAGTTCAGAGCTGTTCCAGAGACAGCAGTGTGTTCTCTGAGACACCACAGGAGGATGATGTGGTGTACAGAGTCAAAAACAGCACTGAGATCTAAGAGGAGGAGGATGCTAGGAGATCCAGAATCAGCAGCCATCAGCAGGTCATTGGTAACTTTAACCAGAGCTGTTTCGGTGCTGTGCAAGGGCCGGAAGCCAGATTGGAAAACCTTTTACAACTGATTAGATGACAGATGTGATTGAAGCTGGTTTGCAACCACTTTCTCCAGTACTTTTGATTCGAAGGGGAGGTTGGAGATGGACGTGTAGTTGGATAGGATGTCCTGGTCACGGTTGGGTTTCTTCAGTAAGTGGGTGACTGCAGCTGTTTTGAAGATTGATGGTACTGTACCTCTCCGGTCAGCAGGGACTTGTTGATCAGGGTGGTGAAAAACATAAGCAGGCTTGATGAGCAGGTTTTGAGTAGGGATGTAGGGAGCAAGAGGTGGCCTTTCATTTTAGAGATGATTGACTGCACAGCGGCGGATGTGTTTACACAGTTTATAATGTGGCAAGCTGTCTTGTATTAGACTGAGTTATCACAAACAGACAGGATAAAATGGTTGTCATTTCCAATATGCTCTCATTAGTATATTGCATCCCTCAACTACTGACATCATAAATATTTCATAATCTCATTTCCTAAGAGGGTATAATTTATTGATTCTACTTAAGTTACATTAGTATATTTATAGACAATCAGCAGGGAGTTACTTTGCATGGCATTCACTGGCATATTTCAGTGATGTGGAGCAAGTATAAAATATATATGATGAGATTTGACCCTTGAGAAATAAAGAGGAACTATGTCAGATGGAATCTGCTGGCTTTGCTGGCTGTGAAGAAACAGACTGAACTAGGGGCTCTATTTAATCTGATCCCGCGACATACATTTTAAGGTAATTTCTGATCGAGTCGACATATGGAGTGTTTACTGTGAATGCAGTCTCCGCTAAAGCGGGAATATTGCCTTTAAATTTCAATCACGCTGTAAAGCTGAACTTCTGCAATGCGGATTTAATAGAGCCCTAGGTCTGTGGGTTAACATGCACGCAAAATGACCAAAAACAAATGCTCTGAGTAATTTTGTCTTTAAGTATCACAACAAATAACAATTATAATGTGAAAGTGGAAATCTTTTAGATTTATATAATATTGTATCTTAGATTTATTCTGTAAAGCTACTGTACTACACCCACCTGTTTAGGGTTTACTGTACTGTACCATAATGTGTATAACTGTATGTGTATTGTTGTATTGTGTAATCTACTCTACAGTGTATTGCATTATACCTTTGAAGTTGGGTCTAATGCGGGCGTCATACCCAGATGTCCTTCCCATGAGTTTATCCAGAAAGTCAGATGGGGAAGGGGCCTTCCCTAGCCTGCTAGGTAGCTTCATCTCCTTACAGGTCCCAGGCCTGCCAGATGGGATGAGGAGTAGGAGGAAACTGTGAGAGGAATGTCAGGAGAGGTATTATCTGGAACTGATGGGCAACTACTGTTTCAGATGGTCATAATAAAGGGATGTGAGGGAGAGGAATTGATTCATGAAGGTGAATAGTTACATTCTCTGCATCTCAAGTGATTTTCTGCAAAAACATATTTCTCTGAAAATATAATTCGGAAATAAGAATGGCTAGGATGATATATGCTCTTTGTAATTACTATTTCTTTGTAATGAGCCACAAGCAGTTAAGTAGTGACTATGTTTTGTAATAAAATTGTAATATTCATATAATTACAATTAAGATATGGTACTTGACTGGGTGTGATCATTTATATTGATTTTAGAAAACACAGGTCATGTAGCTTTCTCCTTTATGTAGACTATGTATATCTAATCCCTGGACAAAATAATCTCTTTCCCAACGTTCCAAATCACATTTACAGTTAAGTCATTTAGCAGACGCTCTTATCCAGCGCGACTTACAGTTTGTGAGTGCATACATTTTTCTTTTCTTTTTTCATACTGGCCCCCCGTGGGAAACGAACGCACAACCCTGGCGTTGCAAGCGCTATGCTCTACCAACTGAGCTACTCTCTCCCTCTCTCATCGGTTTTCTTTCATATATTATCCTACTTTGTTAAGTGTAGGACTTCTCCGGTCTAGTCCCAATGCATTAGACTAACAGCAGAATCGTATCAAATTGTTAAGCTAAATGTAGAGTTGTTGTATGGATAAATATTTAATACGCGGTAAAAGTCTGCAAAATTTGGAGGGATAACTACGTCATACGCCTCTTAGTATAAAGTCCAAATAAAAATCCTACATTTATTGGTCATTATTTTTACAAAATGCTAATCAAAATCAATTAAATATATATTATATATGTATTATTTTTAGGCACATTTAAACAACATAATATATTGTAGAACATATGAACCTTTCAAGGAGGCAACTGATTATATTTCTCTGTAGGCAATTAGCCTTAGTGATTTTCATATAATTGGGAAAACATTGTATATTCCCCATGGTTCAACAACTTCTCTCACTTCAAAAGTAGCAGATCTCTATTTCTTCAGTTTACACATTATAAATGCACATTGAATCAACATATTCATTTTTCTTAGTCTCCTCCTAGTTTTACTCAAACAACCACAGGCATAGGCTATAATAAAACAATAATAAGTACTTACTACGTCAAAAGGCAAGACAATTATGTTTCTTACCTGCCTTGTAGAAAGCAGACGGATGAGACCCATACCATCCATAGGACTAGTGAAAGCATTCTCCGCTTACAGCTCTATGCATAAAATAAAATACAAATGGATGAAGAAGTATTTAGAGGCATATAACTCAGTGAAAAGTCTGTGAACCTAGGCAGAGAAACATGGTGTTGCTCCGCTACCCAGACAAATCCTTATTGAGCCCTCTGAGCCTCTGGCTCTCTGCAGGTGTAACATCCAAGATGATGCTGGTCTATAATTCAAGGTCTGGGGAAGTTTTGCCATGTGATCTTTTGTATGAAAGACCCACAAGCTTTATGTCTTTTTCATAGCTAAATGCATGCTCCAGGAATTACAGCAGGAATATTTAAACAGACAGCAGCATTTTATACCTCTTCTTTTTTTTTTGTCAGTGCGTTTTTAAAGTTCCAAATACTTTGAGACTTTATCTTATTTTGGCTTTAGACTTTAATGAGCACTGTTTGGATCCACAGTCAAGGCATTTTCTATGAAATAAATCAGTTTTTTCCCCTAAAAATAAAAACACAATCATAACAGAGAACGTGGACATACGTTCACCAAATATATATACACTGAACAAAAATATAAACACAACATGTAGTGTTGGTCCCATGTTTCATGAGCTGAAATAAAAAATCACAGAAATGTTCCATACACACAAAAAGCTTATTTCTCTCAGATTTTGTGCACACATTTGTTTACATTCCTGTTAGTGAGCATTTCTCCTTTGCCAAGATAATCCATCCACCTGACAGGTGTGGCATATCAGGAAGCTGATTAAACAGCATGGTCATTACACAGGTGCACCTTGTGCTGGGGACAATAAAATACCACTTTAAAATGCGCATTTCTGCCACACAACCCAATGCCACAGATCTCAAGTTTTAAGGGAGCGTGCAATTGGCATGCTGACTGCAGGAATGTCCACCAGAGCTGTTGCCAGAGAATTGAATGTTCATTTCTCTACCATAAGCTGCCTCCAACGTCATTTTAGAGAATTTGGCAATACATCCAACCGGCCTCACAACCGCAGACCACGTGGGGGGTATTTCTATCTGTAATAAAGCCCTTTTGTGAGGAAAAACTCATTCTGATGACTGGGCCTGGTTCCCCAGTGGGTGGGCCTGGCTGCCAAGTGGGTGGGCCTATGCCCTCCAAGGCCCACCCATGGCTGCACCCCTGTCATGTGAAATCCATAGATTAGGGCCTAATGAATTCATTTCAATTGACTGATTTCCTTATATGAACTGTAACTCAGTAAAATCTTTGAAATTGTTGCATGTTGCATTTATATTTTTGTTCAGTATATTTCTAGATACATATATCTCCATTATTAAAATAATTAATTTCAAGAATTTATTAAATAAATATTAATTGGTAAAAGGATTTTGAATTTGAATAAGTCAAGCTTGAAGACGGGCACTCAAGGCAGTTAAGCAGACAAATGCAACAATAAAGGGCACAACATTGTTATCAAAGGAAAGTACTTTCAAGGTGTACAATAAAAAAGGGGAAGACATTTTGCATATTTCTTTCTCTCGACTAGTTAATTAAACTATCCCTCGAAGGGATAGAATTACTTCAGTCTCTTTCAACACATAGATACATTCTAACACCTATTGAGGAACTCAGTAGTAAAAGTCAGACATAAGGCGGCAATACATTTCACACATTACTGTTTTGTAAAATAGTAACTATGCTTACGGCAGACTACCTTAGCAAAAGGGATGGTAGCTCCTGAGTGGCGCAGTGGTCTAAGGCACTGCATCGCAGTGCAAAACTGTTCCACTAGATCCTGGTTCGAATCCAGGCTCTGTCGCAGCCGGCCGCGACCGGGAGACTCATGGGCGGCGCACAATTGGCCCAGCGTCGTCCAGGGTAGGGGAGGGAATGGCCGGCAGGGATGTAGCTCAGTTGATAGAGCATGGCGTTTGCAACGCCAGGGTTGTGGGTTCGTTTCCCACAGGGGGCCAGTATAAAAAAATAAAATAATAATAATATGTAAGTCGCTCTGGATAAGAGCGTCTGCTAAATGACTAAAATGTAAAATGTCTGTACTTCACACGTGTTAAGACATTTCCCTCACATCTGTAAAACCTTTCCCGCCTTCCCACAGGGAGGTGTTTAAGAGCCAGTGTCAGCAGATGCTGAAAAATCATGCAAGTTTTTGCATGTAAAAGCATTTCCAGTTCCATAGTGGTTAAGTAGGCCAGCTTTAATTTTGAATGTGGTAGCCTTCTGTAGAGCATAGTTATACTGCAGACCTACTTTCCCAGTGAGTGGTTCTGTACGCTGTAGCCCACACAGGTCAGGTGCCCTCTGAGCAGGACTGCCTGTTCCCATCCACTCTGAGGAGAGCCATGGCACTTTAACCCGAGAACTCCTAGGACAGGAAGAGTCTATGTGGGAGCAGTGCAGGCAGGTGAGCAGTGATGGTTGGGAATGGATATTTTGTTCAACTAAAGCAGGGTTGCCCAACCATGTTCCTGGAGAGCTACCTTCCTGTAGGTTTTCGCTCCAACGCCAGGTGTTACTAACCTGATTAATCTTATCAACCTGCTAATTATTAGAATCAGGGTTGCTAGATTAGGGTTGGAGCAAAAACCTACAGGACGGTAGCCCCTCAGGAACAGGGTTGGGCAGTCCTGAACTAAAGGGTCTCAACATGGTAAACCATAGCAAAAGCCACTGCCTAATAGACTCCATATTTGAGCTTGTGTGATTTAATTACCAACGATGTGAAACCATGATGTTATAATACATTTCCAAGAAAACTTGTATCAAGGGACTTATGGTAGCAGTCCATATCAGAACCAGTTCCCCTAACTGAGTGATAACATCTTAGGAAATAAAAATGCAAATGGTAGGATCATTTATTAAAAAATATTTTTATTGCAGCCTAACAATATGAGCTGCTCTGATCACACTGAAAAACAACCTCCACATACCAGTATGTTGTTAGGCTTGTACACTGTCACCTGTATTCCCGAGATGGACAATTTCACCTTGATCACAAAACGCAACAGAATAGATCTGGGGATATGGGGGCGGCTTTTATACTATATAGAATGATTAGACTGATATACATGGTGAATATTTCTACTCACTATCTTGAATAGACAATAAGAAAAAAAAACACATGCATGTGATAGAAATTACAAACATGAAAATATTCCAGCGACATGAAATGTACAGAGTAAATTTGTGTCCAGAGATTCTCCCTTTTCTTTTCAAGTGCATCATCATAGTAGGGTCTGCCAAAGCCTGGCGATGACTGTGAAAGTTCAAAGCCTTTATGAGTAGTGACAGCATACGTCTCCCAGCATAGGCTCAGCCTCCCCAGAGTAGAGAAGACTCAGTCCTCGTGAATGTTGAAGAGCTTAGCCACTTCATTCAGATCGGCATGTTCCTCTCCATCTTTGATGATCTGCAAAGACAAGAATGCAAAGCAAATCAGTCTATATTTAACTCGGTTTTCAACATCACTTAAGTGACATGGAGCGGTTTGAAGAACAGAGAAAATATGCATCCTCTGATATTTGTGACAGTTCTCACCTTCCTTGCGACGGGCATTCTGTTGAACACGTTCCACAGGATAATGCCCACCACCACTTTGTCTCGCAGATAGAAGATCACTCCTTTCCCGTAGTCGTCCTTCTGCTGGGATACTGGAGGGGGTTCAGGGGTGGAGGAGGCTACAGGGCTACTGGCCGTCCCCTCAGTCTCACTCTCCGAACGGATTCCAGTTCCTATCAGGATAGGAAAGATGCTCAGGCTAGGTCTTCAAAACAATTGTTTTGGGGGGGGGGGGGTTGAAACATTTAGTTGATTTGTAAAGTACAGAGGGTCCTTCTGTAGAATCAAATCAAATAGTTTGTCACATGCTTTGTAAACAGTGAAATGCTTACTTACGGGCTCTTCCCAACAATGCAGAGAGAAAAAAACTATACCGCGAGGAATAAATACACAATGAGTAACGATAACTTCCCAATATACACGGGGTACTAGTACCGAGCTGATGTGCAAGGTAAGAGGTAGATATGTACATATAGGTAGGGGTAAAGTGACTAGGCAACAGGACAGATAATAAACAGTAGCAGCAACGTATGTTATGAGTCAAAAGAGTTCATGCAAAAAGGGTCAATGCAGATAGTTAAATAGCTACCCGGACTAACTATTTATCAGTCTTATGGCTTGGGGGTAGAAGCTGTTCAGGGTCCTGTTGCTTCCAGACTTGGTGCATCAGTACTGCTTGCCGTGCAGTAGCAGAGAGAACAATCTATGACTTGGGTGGCTGGAGCCTGCCAATTATGTTGACTGTAAATCAGTATAATGTGGATGGTTATACCGGACTTCTCTGTGGCAGCTTTGGGGGTGTCCTTAGCAGTGGCTTTGGCAAATACTCCAACCGTTGGAAGGCTACTGTCTACTATCCCAATGGCCTCATAGCCTACATCAGGCCCCAGGTCACTCCTGTGGGACACAATAGGACATGAGATACAAGGTTAGAGGAGAGGGAGTCACTGACGACTACTGACAAGGAAACTGAATGATATGACTCGTACCAGAACATGGACTGATGCCAGTAGGGCTTATTGGCTCCCGTCATGTTCTCTCCGGCCAGCCGGCCACTCACGACTGCATGGTCATGGTGCTCCACTCGCCTGCGGCCCAGTCTAATGTCATAGAAGCATGCTGCATCACCTGCCTGTAAACAGAGGACACTAAGGATCACAATAGTTGCCTACATAGTCATGACACATCGGTAATAAATTACAATACTTTTTTTTATAGTTTCCTTGTGCTTGAGTATGAGAGTTAAGGATGCATAACTTATGAGATATGTTATCAATCTTTCAATGGGGGAGCTCTTCTTTACTAAGAATTGACCTTTCAGATGAAAATGAAGTAGCATCCGAAGACAACCACTCGAATTTGCACTTACCACCCATATATTGGACCTAGCCTGCAGTTCTGCGTTGACCCGAAAGCCCCCAAAGTCAGAGTCTACCTCCAGACCTGCTGACTTGGCCAGCTCTACACTGGGATCCAGCCCAACAGCTGCAACAATATGGTCCGTCTTCACCACGCGACCATCCTTCAGTTTGATCTCCACTCTGCCATCTTTGTAGGTGACACCTTTAACCAACGCTTCTGTGATGACCTTCACTCCCTCTGTAAAGGTGAGAGTTGAATTTCAGTATAAATAACTTCTTTAAAAATGTAACTTCTCTTTAAAAAATGTATAGGTTGGCAATGGCCGTCTCAGTCATTTCCACAGGGGAGAAGGAACTCCCATATACAGTCCATTAGTGAAACATGCAAGTTATAGAGATTAAGAGGTTTCCCTCCTTACCGCTCTTGACTTTGGCTGTTGTCCAGTTGCTTAGATACTCCGGTAGCACCTTTCCCATGTTGCCCTTCTCAGGGAACATCTGGACCACCTCCAGGTCAGAATCAGCAGCTGGGAAAAGGATGGAAGACAGACAGACACCTTACAAAGGGGCATTTCACTGTGGTGAATGTTGGTTGTTGGTTCAGTCAGTGTAATTTCTCCCTTGATTCAGACAGTAGTCTTAACTTTAGGACTGTCCCCACTTTTTAAAAAATCTTGGTCGACCAAGATAGTCTGTTCTTTCAACCAATCGGCCTACATTTTACAACTTTTTCCATAGACACATCCTGTGTTTAATCAAATCAACTATATGCACTGAGCTGGTCTGATGCTTTAAACGAACAGTTAGATTAAATAACTAAGACACACAAATTACATTGAGGGACTGTGTGACTAGCCCCCGTTGTCTCCCTCTCCTCCCTGCTACAGCGACCACCACAGAACATCAACTGTGTGTATTGCGCTGTCCGTGTTGCTGAAGCTGCAACATAATTACAGTCATTTCTGACTGAAAAGTTATCTTACCGAAATCCCTAATTTGTTTAGGAAAAACATTCCCTATCGCAAGCACGTGGCCAATAGGACCTGACCTATAGCATATCATAGTCACATCAATAAAACAAACTGAACACCGTAACACAGCAAAATGGATGCAGAAAATGTGACAAATAAACTCGAAACGGGGGAATGTTTACTGGTTGCGCAGGAGGTAAAGGGGAAGTCAGATGTGTGGAACAAATTTGACTAGTTGTGGAAAATACAGGAGAGCAAGAAAAATAATGTAAGGAGAAAGCGCTGCATGCATATTATGTGAGGAAAACAGGTGCTGTTAGATTACAATATAATTTTTGACTGTTTGGAACCATGTAAACACAAATGATAAGCGTACCAGAGAGTCTGTTGTAATTTTTTTTAGTTTTTTTGTAAAGCCTTTATTACAGCAAAAACTCAAAACAGTCGCATTCATTCGTGAATGCAATTTTCGAAATGGAACGGTTTAGGCCTATTTATTGTTAATGCTAATTATTCAATGGTCTCTTAGTTATTTTATTTAAAAACAAAAAATGCTTGATTGCATTTCATATCATGAATGACTCCTATACTGTTTGATGACATTAACAATTACATTGATTGATACAGTAGCCTATATAAGTATTGAAATATGGGCCTAAGTAAGTTACATTATTAAGACTAAACAGGATGCGCTCTTAGGCCTACAGCTCGATGGTGGTATATAAGGCTGCTATACTAAGCCTGCTAATGATAATGACATATTGATCATAATAATAACAACATTAATAATAACAATAAGGAGGTAAAGGAAAAAGGTTATTATTATTATTATAAATACAAACATTCTGACAATTTGGAACAGTGTAAACAGTAAATAAATTATAAATAATACCAAGGTCTAACGAAAAAAGTGTAAAGCCTTTATTACAGCATAGCAAAGATGAAAACAGCTGAATTAGTGAAATTGTTGCGTGAGGCTTGGTGCTCAGGGAATCAGTAGGCTATGAAACAAGCACTCAAACAGGCAACAGAAGCAGGCTCTGTCTTACTTCTGTAGATCTACAGTATATATGGATGATTTATAAATCAAGGCACACAACAGTTAGGCTATTGATTATAGACCTAAATAAGTTGGGGTTTCCCCTCTCCTCACTTTTCTTAGACAATTACGCAAGGGCTGTTTTCTCGTCTCCTAACTCTGCTGCTGCCGCATTGTTCTCAACACCAATATGCTGGTTAACTTTGCTATTATGCACATAGCAACATGGTCTAGGAAAAGGCGCCAATTCAACAGCGCACTGATGTGTTTCAGAATTGCAGACAGTGATCACTATCCAATGCGGGAGAAAGCGCAGTTGTTGTAAAATAATATTTTATTTGTGTTGCACCATTGTATAACCATATACATTTTCAGTAGCACATGTCTTAGACTGATGGACTGTGCCATCCCCACGGCCTGCACAATGGATCAGTCCACTCAGACAGGTGTCTTGAACACCATGAAATCTCGGTCGACCAACAGCCCATACACCAAACAATCGACTAAATAACGTCAGCCCTACTTAACTTACATCTCCTGCCCAGGGCACAGGCCAGCTCACTCCCCAAGAAACCTCCTCCAATTATGGTGATGGATTTGGTGTCCCTGGAGACCTTATCCAAAGATTTGAAATCTTCAACCTAGGGATGATAGCAAAAAAGCATTTTCACAAGGTGGATTTGAATAGTAACTACAAGTATTCCCTGTCAAAAAACATACTTGCTGGCACTGTTATCTTAAAGCATAATTTATTTTGAATAATAGACATCACTACAGTTTAATGCAAAACATGACGTAACTGAGGGCTCGATTGTAACAAACCTAACGCAATGGTAAATCTAAACGCAGGCGGTAGCGCTATAGGTTCAGTAGTGTCAGAAATATTTTTGCTATTTTCAGCATCACAGTTATCCGCGTTGATGTGAAAGAGCTGGGTTTTGATGAATAAACAAGTTGTGGGTGTGTTGAGACTTGGCCCCTCACTGGCCAATCAGAACGAGCTCCATGGAGATACATGTGGTTGCTTGTGTATTTACGGTCTTTTATGTATTACCTTGGAATTCCAATGTTAGGCCATTATAGTTTGTTAATTGGCTTACAGAAAATAAATAACAAAATGTAGACCTATCTTTGCTAAATACGTTCACGTGAACCCATTTGCAGGCCACATGTTCTAAGTAATTGCATGACTTCAATTGCATTTACCCTGATATAGGGGCCAGGCCTACTGTAAATTAATTATTGATAAAGGCCTGAAAAGCGAAGGAATAATTCAAATCAAATTCTAAACAAATAGGCTGTCACACTTACAGGTACCATAATTTCTCCCTGTGGGCATATAATATTAAAACACAGACAATGGAGGGTTTAACACGCATCCAAACTTTTCACTGTAGTTGGACAAAGATCCAATATAAATAGCAAGGGAGAACGTCCACTTACGTTATACTGCTCCCAAATAGGCCTGTGTTTTACAGTGAGGGAAAAAAGTATTTGATCCCCTGCTGATTTTGTACGTTTGCCCACTGACAAAGAAATGATCAGTCTATAATTTTAATGGTAGGTTTATTTGAACAGTGAGAGACAGAATAACAACAACAAAAATCCAGAAAAACGCATGTTAAAAATGTTATAAATTGATTTGCATTTTAAATGAGGGAAATAAGTATTTGACCCCCTCTCAATCAGAAAGATTGCTGGCTCCCAGGTGTCTTTTATACAGGTAACGAGCTGAGATTAGGAGCACACTCTTAAAGGGAGTGCTCCTAATCTCAGCTTGATACCTGTATAAAAAAAGACACCTGTCCACAGAAGCAATCAATCAGATTCCAAACTCTCCACCATGGCCATGACCAAAGAGCTCTCCAAGGATGTCAGGGACAAGATTGTAGACCTACACAAGGCTGGAATGGGCTACAAGACCATCGCCAAGCAGCTTGATGAGAAGGTGACAACAGTTGGTGTGATTATTTGCAAATGGAAGAAACACAAAATAACTGTCAATCTCCCTCAGCCTGGGGCTCCATGCAAGATCTCACCTCCTGGAGTTGCAATGATCATGAGAACGGTGAAGAATCAGCCCAGAACTACATGGGAGGATCTTGCCAATGATCTCAAGGCAGCTGGGACCATAGTCACCAAGAAAACAATTGGTAACACACTACGCCGTGAAGGACTGAAATCCTGCAGTGCCCGCAAGGTCCCCCTGCTCAAGAAAGCACATATACATGCCCGTCTGAAGTTTGCCAATGAACATCTGAACGATTCAGAGGAGAACTGGGTGAAAGTGTTGTGGTCAGATGAGACCAAAATGGAGCTCTTTGGCATCAACTCAACTCGCCGTGTTTGGAGAAGGAGGAATGCTGCCTATGACCCCAAGAACACCATCCCCACCGTCAAACTTGGAGGTGGAAACATTATGCTTTGGGGGTGTTTTTCTGCTAAGGGGACAGGACAACTTCACCGCATCAAAGGGACGATGGACGGGGCCATGTGCCGTCAAATCTTGGGTGAGAACCTCCTTCCCTTAGCCAGGGCATTGAAAATGGGTCGTGGATGGTTATTCCAGCATGACAATGACCCAAAACACACGGCCAAGGCAACAAAGGAGTGGCTCAAGAAGAAGCACATTAAGGTCCTGGAGTGGCCTAGCCAGTCTCCAGACCTTAATCCCATAGAAAATCTGTGGAGGGAGCTGAAGGTTTGAGTTGCCAAATGTCAGCCTCGAAACCTTCATGACTTGGAGAAGATCTGCAAAGAGGAGTGGGACAAAATCCCTCCTGAGATGTGTGCAAACCTGGTGGCCAACTACAAGAAACATCTGACCTCTGTGATTGCCAACAAGGGTTTTGCCACCAAGTACTAAATCATGTTTTGCAGAGGGGTCAAATACTTATTTCCCTCATTAAAATGCAAATCAATTGATAACATTTTTGACATGCGTTTTTCTGGATTTTTGTTGTTGTTATTCTGTCTCTCACTGTTCAAATAAACCTACCATTAAAATTATAGACTGATTATTTCTTTGTCAGTGGGCAAACGTACAAAATCAGCAGGGGATCAAATACTTTTTTCCCCTCACTGTATGAACATAATCGGAACCATTTCACAGGTCAGATCGCATTCACACATGTCCAGAAGTTGCATTGCAAGCGCGCCACGTTGTCAACATAAAACCAGGAAGGTAAATCCTTCTAACAAGTTTGGTTGTAATAAAATGTAACGAAAAACAATGTTTATTTTTTAATGTAATGATATCATAAAAATGGCCAGGATAAAAAAGACAGGCATTGCTGTCGAACCAGCCTTCGCTATAGTATGCCTAAGGAAGGGCTTGGGATTTTAACATATGAAACGGAAAACAAGCCATTTTTACAGGTTACAGATAACTTCTATATACATGAGGTTCACCGGTATTCACCGAGGTTCTCATCTCTTTTTTAAATTAAAAACATACAATCTACTTGCAGTGAAGCCGCTCAACATTTACATTACACTCAGTCATCTAACAGACTCCCATCCAGAGCGACCCACAGAAGCAACCAGGGTTAACGCCCTGCTCAAGGGCACGTCGACAGATCTCCCACAAGGTCAAAAACGGGAACCAGAACCAGCGAACTATCTGCCACCGGCCCAAGCTCCCAACCGCCAGGCCACCAGCACAGTTCCCCGACAGCTGCCCCGCAACCATCCGAGACCACCCCCGAAAAAATAATTTGTAAAATTAAATATTTCCATTCCCCACCCCCAAGACACCCGCCGCCAATGCACCAACAAAATTAACAAAAGAGAAAAACAAAGGAAAACAATGCAAAAACAGAAGACATCAAGGACAACAAAAATCATAACAGCAAGGCCAACTGAATGTTTGAGTGCATGTATGGCACTATTTACGTGTGTGTGTCCGTGTATGTGCATGTTTGAATGAGTGTGTGTGTGTATTTGCATGTGTACAAACACCTGCGCGGCATCAGCCTCAGGCAAACAGGCATTCGCTGTAACAACGTTGCCCCTCAGTGTCATTCAAACTTACTTTTTGTTTTATTTTGGCTTTATTTTTTTACTTTTATATATTTGACCATCATTCTATCCCCCGCCCAGCAACTCCACTCCCACATCCCAACCCTCAGCCCATCCCAGCTGGCCACCCTCGTCGGATTTCTACGCACCATACATATTTCAACTATGCTGTGATGTTTAACATACAATTTGAATCTATTTAATCGAATAGAATCCACAGATTGCGAGTTGAAGATAAATACTTTTACTAAGAGTATGTATATTAGTAATTGAATGACCAGGTCTCTCCAGATCTCCCAACAATGACATTTCTAGGGTCAATATTAGATGAATGTTATGCTTTTTCAGCCATTCCTGAACCGGAGACCAGAAACAGGCTACCTGAGGGCAATACCAAAACAAATGATCTATTGATTCTGTATCCTCACAACAAAATCTGCAGAGCTGCGATGATTGTATGCCCCAAATATTCAACATTTTGTTGGTGGCAAGAATTCTGTACAATAATTTTAACTGAAAAGCACGTAGTCTTGAATCTTGCGTCGTATTTTTATATATCAACTCATACACACTGTACCATGGAATCGGTACATCACACATCTCATCTCGTTTCATGATGGACATGTATACTGCATCATGGAGGGTTTTATGCACGTCCAAAACGGGACCTGCATGACTAAAATGATGTGGGCCTGCCTACAATGCATAGATAAAAAGGGAACGTCAGCTCAGTTTTACTCCTCTCAAACTTGATATTTTAATAAAGCTTTGGTGATTAAGATTTATTTCCAAGCGGTCTCAGGAGCCAAACCCTTTATCGACAGTCTTGACTACTTCGCGATTGAATTGGGCAGACAAAAAAAAAGCCTTTCTCGCTGCCTGAAATTAGCACTTTGGATCATGTTTTTAAGGACACCGCAAATATTTCCACCCCGCCCATCTGAGCGCAAGCGAGCTGATATAAGACAGGTACATTTCCGAACCTGGCTTTAGGGCTGGAAAATGCCAGTGCGCCAGTTTTTACATGACGAAATTGCAAACTAACGTGCGTTTGACACTATCGCCGCCTTAACTCCAGCCCGAAAATAGAGCCACCAGATAGCGTCAATCAAGCACAAAGGCTCCCCCTGGTGGCTCTCCTTACGGATAGAACATGTCGAAGTTATGCCGTGCAGTCCCTGAAGATGACTAAAATAATAGCCCCTACCGAACATTGTAAAGGACCTAGCTTCAGCATGTTACGTTGTCATGTCAGCGGTACCAAACACCAAATTAATGAATGATCGTCTTCTGGCTACTGCCCACACCTTTCAAAACATCTGATTCTGAAGGCAATGTGTTTACCTTTCTAAACAGTGTAGTCCTCTTTGTCACCTCTTCTCCGGCTCTCTCAATCACTTGCAGATTCCTTGGGACTCCACCTTAAGAAAGAAAGCTCAAATTAATTGCTGCTCAGTGTACAAGTCCTAGCCTGTTGTGAATGTCGCACCCAACTCAGCAGCTAAACTGGATGTGCTCCATAAGATGGATTTATCATCATGGCTTACCTGTGGCAATCAGGCACTTATCATAGGAGATCTCTGTGTTGTCACTCAGTGTCACTTTGTTCCCCCTCACGTCCATGTGCACCACCTGAAGAAGATTGGGGAAGGTTTGATAAAAAATGTATATTACGACAACGTACTCACTCACAGATTATTCTTCATGAGGTTGGGTGCTGGATTCTCTTAGTAAAATACATTGAGTGAAATGGACAGCACTCTAAGGATACACTTTAATAATTCATTCACCAATAAATTAATTATTGAAGATTATCCTTGGATGCTGTCCATTGCATTCTCCAAGAAGGTTTGATAAATCCTTTTACTAAATCGGAATAAGTACTGTTTGGAAAAAGATGGTATAACTAATTAAATGTAAGCAAATTCTTCAATTATATAGAAAATAACTCAAGACCAGAATGCTTTGCTATAAAAAACAAAAAGCACCAAACCTTTTTCCCAGTGAGCACAGCCACTCCTCCATTCTCCACTTTCTCCAAATCCTGAGGACTGACATAGAATGAGGGAGGCTGGAAGTAGATGCTGAAAACCAGAAATAAACATGCATTAATATAGGAATATTGCATATGATGACTGTTCTGTAAACATGTGTGCACACACACACACACCTCCTCTCCTTGCCGTTCCACTGTTTGAAGCGCAGGGTGTCAACCACACTGGGGTCATCAGAGAACCACAGCTCCTTGGAGAGAGGAGGCCTCATGTACGGAAGGTCTGGTTCATCAGTGATAATCAATACCTGTGGACAGATAAAAACAAAAATATATTTTGGGTAAAGTGCTAAAATAGATTAGTCATGTCTAAAGAAATCAACATGAGGTATTCTGCGAAACCTAAACCATGAGCCTACTTATCATAACACTGCTTGCTAAGTTCTTGGTGACTCCATAGATCAACAACAGAGAGAAGCCCACTAACCCTGGCTCCTGGGTCCCTGGCCCTGATGGAGCGTGCTGCAGCAAAGGAGGCCGTGCCTCCGCCAATCAAGAGGTATGGGGCGTGTGATGGAAACTCAGGGGTAGGTGCAGGGACCTCGGCAGGTGCAACAGTTGCAGGTTCCGCAGCTGGGACAGCAAAGAGGTAAAATCACTGTCTCATCTGACACTGTGGACTCAGAGGTAGACCCAAAGCATGCTGCATCCTGCTGTACAGTGGAAAACCTCTAGTCTAAAAACACCAGAACCATGTGTAGGAGATTATCGTTTAGCTGTACAATGATGACCATTGCACAAGTAACCTTAAAAACAAAAAGTAAATTGTTATCCATCCATGTGAGAGCTTTATCACTTAGCATAACCAGGACCCAAACATAGACCACAAGTAACCTTAACAGGGAAGGAGAAAATGAAATCAAGGTAACCATCAACTGTAGTAACCGTATCGTGTTTACAGGAAAAACCATAGTGCTGTGTTGTCTGTCTGCCCCCTCCAGCAGAGGCTGGACTCAGGTCTTACCACTCTCCGTCTCAGTCGTAGTTTGCGGCGCCACTGTTTCTGCAGGAAGGCATTCTGCTACTGGTGTTGATTCTGTTAGTATAACCGAAGTGTTAGGCAAATTGGGGGGAAAAAATCTGAAAATCAATTTTGATCATTGAAAATATGGGATTATTTTCCCATGCACTGGTCTGAGTGTTTACCACTCTCCACAACGGGAGCAGGAGGCTCTTCTGTAACCTCTACGGGGGACGGTTCCACTAAAGGTTCTGTTTAGCACAATGGCATATTTAAAATTTAACTGCCTATTCATTAGGCTAGTAGCGACTTCACACTTACAAAAAAAACGTAATCTTCATTGGCCAAAGCTCTTACCACTCGGAGCTGGTGAACTTGGCTGCTCCACTGCTTCTTCTGAGACAGAATCAGCTACAGGTGCTGCTTCTGTTAGCATGGGTCCATAGTTATTTAATGTTTTATAAACTCTCTCCATTTCCACTAAAATAAAGATGAAAAAGTATTTCTTCCATAAAGTCAGATCTTACCACTCTCAACTACTGGCTCAGCAGCAGGCGTCTCTACTGATTCTTCAGGAGCTGGTTCTACCACCGGTTCAGGTGCTGTTGGGGGTAATCCATAGTCCATGATTATAGGGTGAACTCCACATTAAAAACCTATGGGAGTGGAGGGCCTGCTTTCTTCGTCCATGCAACCATGCCTTACCAATCTCAACCTCTGGTGTGGCGGGAGGATCCTCTGGTTCCACTGCAGCAACTTCAGGGGACACTTCTGTGTATTTGACCAACATTCTTTTAAAAAGCTTCTGGGGGGGGGGTCTATAATACTTACAGGCCAAGCATTGATTCGACTCAAATGGGGAGTTTACTAGCAACTTTTAGCTATCACCCTCACCTTCGACAATAGGGGTTACTTCCGGAGTTTCCGCAGGAGCATCTTCCGTAACAGGAGTAATCTCTGTTAGTAGGCATGACCGTAAAGGTTGAGGGGAGTGGTAGAAAAACAGAATGCTTGAAAACGTGCTGCACTGGTTTTAGCTCTTCTCCATTTGATATGATGTAGGCAGCTCAAAGGACTTTATAGAGGAGTTAACTGTAAAGGTGGGATCTACCTCCCTCAATTAGCAGAACCAGAACATTAAGGCAAACCATATTGCAATAACACACAAAAAATTCAGTTTAAACAATATGCAATAAAAAAACAGAACATTCCCATAACATCCAATAGTTATAACGGGAAAAGATGCAGAGATAGGAAAGGCTGTTGTGTTAGTCAAGATTTTAAACTAATTAAAATCAAACTTAAAGTTTGATTGACACAGAAAATGTGAGACAGGAGATCCATTCACAATCATGGACCTGTGGGCTAGGTATTCCGTCAACCAACAGACATCCATAGATAGCCAACAAACGCCAATGACTATGCCCCCACCAACCTGTCCCATCCAATTGTTACATTCAATTATCCCATCCTAGCTATACATTTGAAATAGTACACATTACATTCAAGGACATGGTATGGCGGGGCATGAGTGGAGTTCCACAATACATGTGCTGTCACAAAACAAGGTCAGATGAGTACACATTGTACCCAGACAGTTGATCCAAGTTTGAGAAGACAAAAAAAACTTGCAGAATAGGAACAAAGTAGAGATAACAAACTGTGACAACAGGGAAATGTGCTGAAGGGAGGTGAGCCACTTGAAGAGGGTGTTAAAACAGAGAAACAGTCACATGCCACAGATAGAACAGGAGGTTAGACCCGAAACTGGCCCCATGCAACACTCAGGACATGTAACTAGATAAGCCAGTTCTCAGTCTCTGAACTTAAGCACCTCTATACACATAATGGGGTGTGAATGCTTTTGGAAGTTCCAGACATGTGACAGAGGTATATATGTATATGAATAGCTATATAATCTATAGAACCTGTAGATAGTTCTGTTGTTTCACAGGGGGCGGGTTCCTCTGGAGGTGGGGAGCTCTCCTCCATAGCTGAAAGCGGGGCTTCGCTCTCAGCTGCTATAGGCTCAGAGCTCTCCTCGCTCTCAGCTGCTATAGGCTCAGAGCTCTCCTCGCTCTCAGCTGCTATAGGCTCAGAGCTCTCCTCGCTCTCAGCTGCTATAGGCTCAGAGCTCTCCTCGCTCTCAGCTGCTATAGGCTCAGAGCTCTCCTCGCTCTCAGCTGCTATAGGCTCAGAGCTCTCCTCGCTCTCAGCTGCTATAGGCTCAGAGCTCTCCTCGCTCTCAGCTGCTATAGGCTCAGAGCTCTCCTCGCTCTCAGCTGCTATAGGCTCAGAGCTCTCCTCGCTCTCAGCTGCTATAGGCTCAGAGCTCTCCTCGCTCTCAGCTGCTATAGGCTCAGAGCTCTCCTCGCTCTCAGCTGCTACAGGCTCAGAGCTCTCCTCGCTCTCAGCTGCTACAGGCCCAGAGCTCGCCTCGCTCTCAGCTGCTACAGGCCCAGAGCTCGCCTCGCTCTCAGCTGCTACAGGCCCAGAGCCAGAACCCTCCTCAGAGGTCTCTTCATGGTGAGAGATCACATGCAAAATCAACATATATTAGTAGCTAAAGGCCTTCTACACTGCTCCAACAGCTAAGGGCCGTATGATTGACCAAACGTGGCTAGGTTGAACAAATAGAAAGCAGAAGCATGGTAGGTTGGTAGACAAAACTATAGTTTATGTGTTAGCTTTACTTTTACTATTTACAAACTATTAATAACAGCGGAATTAGTGCTGCATACAGAAGTGACATTGGTGTGATGCCAGGGGTAACTGCATTAGAGTATTCATGTTTTCAGTGAAATGTTGCTATGCCCACCAAACTTAAAAATCTGAAAAGTCACAAATAAAAAAATAAAGAACCATGTAAATTAAAACATATCCAAACATAAGCACCCATGCCCCCTAGTGGTGCTTTTCCAGAATTCTACAATAAACGTCTAAATATAAAATATATAGGCTTATGTGTTTTTCATCTTAAGAAAAGTCATCAAATAATCCTTTATTCTAGGGTTTGAACACTGGTTTATACCATTTCTCAAAAATAGGCTCAATGCCTAGCAAGAACCCACAGGGTCAAATTTAACAACAATCTTGCTTTCATCTGGACTACGCAACATAATTCAGCCTTTTAAGAGTCTTACTTGACTACTAATGTTATACCATGATGCACATTGTTACATAAAACACAATACAGATATGTTAATGTATGACATTGCCATGAATAGGGGTTGGAGACAGGATTGTTATCCGCAAGCAACTAAAATTCTCACCTTCTGGAGTTTCAGCAGCTTGTTCGCCTGAAAGACAAGATATACACCACAAGGGTAATTTTGTTAAACTGTAAAGACAAAAAAAATGCAGATGTGATTTCAGACTGCCAACGTGTGTTATGAATCACACGTTCTCACCTGGGGCCTCTGTGATTGGTTGTGCTGGGACTACCTTATTTGGTCTGGAAGCAATTTCATCAATTCGTTCCTGATATCGCTCTTTGTCTTCTTTGATGGTGCGGTAAGCCTGTGAAGATACAAAACATTACATCTTTAAACCTCTTTTCAGGGATTTTTCTGCCATTTAAATCCTTGGGCGGGCCACCTAAGCGTTTTTTCAGGACACCTAAGTCCAAACAGTGTAAAAACAAATTAGTTTTTGTGATGGAAAAACGCTTTCAGTGTAAACTTAAACAACTAAAACCAGATATAAAGTATGTAGAAATTATAATGGACCCTTTATATTTTTCTTTAAATATAATCTTTGAGAACTAACAATCACCAAAATAAAACCTAGACAGTCAGTGAGAATTGAAAATTCCAAAAACAATTAATCTAGCAGTATTGATTTTGTTATTATGTTTGAGCAAAAGAACAGCATTAGCCATAGCAAAATGTATAGAATTGCAGGAAATTAGCTTTAAAACAGCACAAAGTTCTCTCAGCACCATGGAGAAATGTGTAGAATTGTAGGAAACTGGCTTAAAAATGCAAAAATGTTTCTACAATCGCCAAGATGGAGGCATCTAAAATGTTCTCTAAAATGCAGCCGCGCTGACGGGCCCGACCACGCCCACCACCTAAGCCCCTTTTTGATCCAGAAAAAAAAAAAACTTGCTTTTTGAACTCACTTGAATCTTAAATAACTACATTTGCCAGGTTGAAAACCAGAAGGTCCAACATACAGTATTTAAAGGCCTCTGGCAAAAGACATAATGAATGGGTGAATGAGGCAAGAGGGCAATGACAACAACTGTTCAATTCCATTGAATAAATTCATACATAAATCATTAATAGGGTGACCCACACAGTTATGGCCTGGCCAAAACCCAGAAGACATCAAATGCAGACCAGACTTGAAATAGCACCTTACAGTTTGAAGCCCTGATGACATTTTGACTGTACTAAAACGGTCATCAGCTACAAAGGTCAACGACCTATGGTGTCCAATATCTTTGCCTGACTTGTTTAGTTATATTTAAGCTAGCCTATAGCACTAACCACGTAACAGAACACTTTCACAACAAAGCATGATTCACAGTATTACAATCAAAATCCTTTTCATTCACATTGTGTTTAGACAAAAGTATAATGCACTGAAACTAGAGTGTGCATAACAAAGAAATGGGCAGGATATTTATTACTTACATAAAATCCTCCCCCTACACAGGTTGCTCCAATTAGGAGGTAGTACAAGTTGTTGTCCCCTCCACTCCCTGGAGCTCCTGAGGACATGTGGGCCTGTGGAACCAGTGTAAGTCTTCTCTCATTGTTCAACACTGAAATGAATCAAGGTGTGTGTTAAGTACTGGGCTGGAGCAAAAGCCTGTACATACAGTAGCTGTCCTTGACTAGAGTTGAGGACTCCTGCTGTAGTGTTTTCCATTAGCCTAACTCAAGTAGTACATTACCTTTGAGTGGATTAATGGTTATAAAGTAAACATAAATAGCCTGCATGTGACAAGTGATGACACTAGTCATTTCTGGTGATTTCATAAAGGTATTTAACATATCAGATGAATCTGTTCTTTGTCTCACCATCTCAATAAGACCTTATCTGCAAAGATAACCTGACTGGCTGATAATGATGCATGGCTCAATCATACTAATACTTCCTAATATACATATACACCCGATGGATGATCCAGTTTGATATTATAAACAGTGACCAAGACAAAGGAGATGATTGTGGACTACAGGAAAATAAAGAGGACTGAGCACGCCCCCATTCTCATCGACGGGGCTGTAGTGGAACAGGTTGAGAGCTTCAAGTTCCTTGGGGTCCACATCACCAACGAACTATCATGGTCCAAACACACCAAGACAGTCGTGAAGAGGGCACGACAAAGCCTATTCCCCCTCAGGAGACTGAAAAGATTTGGCATGGGTCCTCAGATCCTCAAAAAATTCTACAGCTGCACCATCGAGAGCATCCTGACTGGTTGCATCACCGCCTGGTATGGCAACTGCTTGGCCTCCGACCGCAAGGCACTACAGTGCGTACGGCCCAGTACATCACTGGGGCCAAGCTTCCTGCCATCCAGGACCTCTATACCAGGCGGTGTCAGAGGAAGGCCCTCAAAATTGTCAAAGACTCCAGCCACCCTAGTCATAGACTGTTCTCTCTGCTACCGCACGGCAAGCGGTACCTGAGTGCCAAGTCTAGGTCCAAAAGACTTCTCAACAGCTTCTACCCCCAAGCCATAAGACTCCTGAACAGCTAATCATGGCTACCCGGACTATTTGCACTGCCCCCCCACCCCATCCTTTTTACGCTGCTGCTACTCTGTTAATTATTTATGCATAGTCACTTTAACTCCACCCACATGTACATATTACCTCAACTAGCCGGCGCACATTGACTCTGCAACGGTACCCCCCTGTATATATAGCCTCCCTACTGTTATTTTACTTCTGCTCTTTTTTTTCTCAACACTTTTTTTGTTGTTGTTTTATTTTTACTTTTTTTGTTAAAAATAAATGCACTGTTGGTTAAGGGCTGTAAGTAAGCATTTCACTGTGATGTCTGCACCTGTTGTATTCGGCGCATGTGACCAATACAATTTGATTTGATTTGATTTGATGTGTATATACACCCGTGACCGTGTTACAAGCTCAGCCCACAAGTTATATAATTCATTCGAATAGCGCCAAAATGTGATAAAAAAATAACTGAAGTTTCAAGTTCACATCTAGTTCAGCTGGCTTACTGGACTTTTTTCCTACAACATTTTTTGTAACGATGGTCCAATGAGGTTGAGATGACGGTGCCCACCACGTAGCAACGGTGGACATACTTTCTAGCAACGACCTTGGCGGAATACATGACCATGGGGGAGGTTGCACGACAACAGTTATTATATGACAGGGCCACGTCTGTTTAAATGCGATAATATTTTATCTTAGTTAACATACAGATCTTTGTGTTTCATTACCCACCAAGTGAAGTGAGCCAGCTGACTACTGCTAGTTAATATAACGTTAGCTGACTGTTTAGTTAGTTAGCTAGCTAACTAACAGTAGCTAACTATCCGAATCTGTAGTTAGTGCATATTGCTGCACATTACATGTCTAACGTTACTGGCTAGCTAACCTAGCTAAGTTACCAGACTGAAGTAGTTAATGTTTGACTTGGGGTGTAGTGTACAGTTTAAAAATATATAGCTATATTTTGGATATGTATTGCTTGTTAGCCTACCCAACCGGCTAACAACTGCACAGTTTCAAAGTTGCACTGGCTATCCAGGGCCCACCAAGTTGTTAACGTTAATTAGCTACGTTAATTAACGTTAGCAATTTTACTTACCTGCTCCCCTTGCATTTTGCAGGCACAAAGTTGAAGAGGCTCTGGCGAGTGGAGCGAACTTCTTCCACAGGTTTTTACACGTCCACATTGTGACACCACTGTGTTGTGAGTTCACGATCGATAAAGAAACCGCTAGCTACAAGCTAGATCTACAACACTGTCCTTGGCACGCTTTTGCCAGACTTCTCGTTTAACTAGCTAGTACCACAGGAATAATTAGAACGGCTAGTACTAGCTATCAGGCCAGCCAGATACGTTATTAGGTCATCTGATTCAAAGGCGTTTTTTTTTTGTCATCGCTCAATGCCCGCCCATTCCACCATTTAATTGGTAGTTGACGTTACGTGTGCACGTGCTTTCGATGCACATTGGCTCACACGCATGTGTTCGAGCATATCAACAATTTCTCTGGTTTCAATTTTGCGCAGATGCAGTCATGCTTGTTCAGGAGAGTTGGCGTGCACAAGACTGCGTAAGTAGGCCTACTCTAATAAATAGATTGTAAAAAATAATGATTACAGCAAATTTGGTTTAAAACTTTATGAGATCTGGTCCTAAAACCCCCAGTGTATTATACAATCAGAGCTGGGGAAGCATAACTGTCACTGACAAGTCAGTTGGAGCAAACTCTGGTGCCATTTATTTATTACATCGTTGGAAAAATAGCCAAGAAAAACATTGTCTTGGCAGGAATTTTAATTGAATGTGTTCATTCATTCACGTGTAATAATACAATTTTGAATGTACCACCATTCGTTTTTTTGAAACCTTGGAACTTATCTGTTGTTCCTGTAGACCGGTTGCTTGGAGTTAAAACATGCAGGTGAAGTCTACAAGTCAAGCTAACCAGCTACTCCTGAGATCTGTGAGACTGTCTTAAAGCTAAATGAAGGTCTGCACTAAAAACAGCATGCTGTTGGTCCAGGCCTGATGTCCTGCCACATCACATTCCTGCTGCCTTTGGAAACATGGAATACCTCATAGCTAGCTTTTTTTCATTTAATGGCAACTATCAAAGAAAGATTCTACTGACAGACCTGAAAAATGTCAAATCAATAGGCAATATACCCTTTTGTTTTGATCTGTAAATAAATGTCAAGTGCAGTTTGTCAATGTGGTGAGTTGTAGACTGGCAAAAAAGTTGACCTTTTAGACAAACACTGTTTGTTGAGTTCAATGTTAAATGGCCATAAAGAGTTAAACCCCCTATTTTACAGTACACCAGCTTGTATATTAGACTATAGAAACAATGGTATGCTTCACTCAAATATCTTTATACTATATCATATTTACATTTTAGTCATTTAGCAGATGCTCTTATCCAGAGCGACTTACAGTTAGTGACTGCATACATTTTTCATATCATTTTCACTGATTGATAAGTGTAGCAGTGCTTTAGTAAAAATCTAAATGCTTTAATAAAGGCCAAGTCATCAAATCATACTTGTAACTACTGGCAATTACATTATTATCTCATGCATGTCTTCTATACCTTCGCTGAACCAGCCTTTTGAAGGAAAGGATTACATTCTAACACAGTTAACTCAAATAAAACATGAAGTACCAAAAAACCTACATGGAATTAAGATTTTATTTAAAGCTATTCAGAAAGGCTTAGAGAGAGAATGAGTGACAAATGTACTATTGCTATATAAAAGCACATTGTTTTGAGCGGTGGTGTAGTGGTATAAAAATAGGTGGGTAAACTGATCGCCGGTCGCAGTGAAAAAAGCAACACTCCACACACATGCAATGCATTTTTCTGCGTTTACCCTCCACTACGCCACTGGTTTTGAGGAATAAAAATAAAGTCTATACAGAAGCAGTATTCATCTGAAATACGAAAATGCCAACTTGACACTATTTTAAAACAAAAAAAAATCAGAATATTCCCCATACAATTTTCACAGTACATTAAATGTAATAATCCAAGTATGACTTAAAATATAGTACAGTTTGAAAAGTAAAAAAGTTGAATTGACGATTTTAGAATCTGCGACGCTTGTTGGCAAAATCAGCAGGGCCTTGGCCGGGGGCCCTTGGGAAGCCAGGCTGGCCTCCTACAGGCATGATGTCGTTTCCTGCCCCCTGTTGGAGAAAACAAAAAAGAAATGTAACATGGGCGACAATTAGAAAAATTGAAGCGAGTCTGTTGCAGCTGTATATTTACATGACACTTTATCAGGATACATATTTGGTTCTCTGTTCGCACAATGCATTTGTTAATCTTGGTATGTAAATATATTGTTTGTTATTCGGTCCTCTGTAGCTCAATTGGTAGAGCATGGCGCTTGTACCGCCAGGGTAGTGGGTTCGATCCCCGGGACTACCCATACCTAAAAAAAATGTATGCACGCATGACTAAGTCGCTTTGGATAAAAGCGTCTGCTAAATGGCATATTATATTATTATAAGTGGTCTCTAATATTACCATTAAAGGGGGGTTCTCGGCAGGCATGTTGGCAGCTCCAGGGTTGGGCCCGCTAGGCTTTCCTTCACCACCACCCATTGAGTTTCTGTTCATTCCTTGACCTACACCAAACCAAAACAGACAACACATCAGCAAACCAATGCAATATATACTAGATAACACGGTACCCTTGATAGCTCAGTGAAGATCTGACCGCTAACTCATCTCATATGTATATACTGTATTCTATACTATTCTACTGTATCTTAGTCAATGCCGCTCTGACATCGCTCGTCCATATATGTAAATATTCTTAATTCATTCCTTACTTAGATGTGTGTATTGGGTATATGTTCTGAAATTGTTAGATATTACTGCACTGTCGGAGCTAGAAGCACAAGCATTTTGCTACACCCGCAATAACATCTGCTAAACACATGTATGTGACCAATAAAATGTGATTTAATGGAAAACTTACCTTGCATGTGCATCCGCATCTCCTGCTCCCACAAAAAAAAGGATGAAAACATATTATTATTATTATTATATTAGAAAGGCATTCTTTAAATCAGATACATTAAACAAGACAGCTTTCAGAATCCAACCAAAATAGTTGTTTTAGCGAATACTTGTCCTTTTTCCAATTGCTGAATACCAGTAACCACAAACAAAACACAATTGTAAAGATGCTTAGAAATATTTTAGGCAACTTTCATTTCTGTGTATTGAGGAATAATGATTGATTTTTCTTTTAAATCTGTGCGTTTAACCAGTGTCAAGAAGCAAAGACTCACATTTCCAGGGAAGTTCCCCTTGAAGCCCTCCTGCTGCCGCCTCATCCTCTCCTCGGTGTGCATCCTCATCTCCTCCTCCCTCCTGCGACGCTCCTCTTCCTGACGCAACTCCATCTGCTTCCTCTTCTGCAGCTCCTGATTATGGAGCTCCTCCATTCTCCTCAACTCCTCCTGACGCCTCAGCAGGTCTGTAATGAGATGAACACCCCAATTGTTAGTCACCCAGTGTATAGACCTAAACAATATGAATCAATTGCCAACAGGACTACATTCAAGCGGTGTAGTATAAGATTGACATCTGGGCTAAATCTGGTGGTAGGACACTTCAAGGAATACACATTTTCCCATAAGACACCACGTTGTGTTCATCAGTGTCCTAAACTTTGTATTGATAAGGCATCTTTAGAGTGGACCGAGACCATACATACCTTGTCTCATCAGGACAACCTGGTGCTCATGTCTGGCTGCCTCCATTTCCTGCTCCAGCTTCTCCTGAGCCTCCTTGATGTTCCTGTCCACCTGCTCATACTGTTGCTTCTCCATCTCCAACAGGGCCTTCCAGCGCATGGCATACTCATACTCAAATGTCCCTGGCTGAGCAAACCTCGGTGGATGCTCCCGCTCCCTGGCGGAGAGATTTTACACAAGAAAAACAGCTCAGTACGCAACATTTTCATGTTATGGATTGTACCTCTTTTCAGCAGCAAAGTGTGAGATTGTTGTACGCACAGTTCTGACCAATGCATTCTGAGAAAGCATGCCAACTCAGTATGATTACTCACTTGTGAAAAACTTGGTTTTTGTTCACAATCCTCTCTGGCAGTCCCTCATCCTCATCAAACTGCTCCATTGGCTCGACTGTTACTGGCCTGGGGAATCTGACAGCGGAAAACAATCAGCATGACTTTTGCCAATTTGAAAACATCACAACAAATGCATTTGAAACGTCAACATGTTTTTTAAAATACATTTACAGCATTATACTTACGCGGTCAATAGAAAGGCTCCATCTGCACACCTATCCAAAGCCTTCCTTGCCGCAGGCTTGGCTGTGTATTCCACAATCCCTTTTCCTGTGGGTCTCCCTCTATCATCCACTATAACTATGGCCCTTTCGATCTGGCCAAAGAAGGAGAAAGCCTCTTCCAGGAGCTCATTGGAAATGAACTGTGGCAAATTCCTCACAGCTAGAGCAGCACCATGTGTCGCAAACCGCACGCGCAACTGTCTGCCTCTGAATGAGGTTTCATCAAGTTCGGCTTTAGCAATCTCAGCCACTGTTTTTGTCTCCTGTTGGTAGAAAATTATAAAATAAGAACATTTCCAAAGTAGTCACATGAATACAAAGGTTGGTTGTTTCGCAACAAAACCAACGCTTGCGCAACAATTGGGAAAAACAGACGAGGTTGGCATCAGCATGCATCAGTTTGGCTGGCGCCCAACTGAACTCAGCTAGCCAAACATGTCTGCTTGCATACTCCCTTAAAAGACATTCGCTTGAAAAACGAGAAAAAAGCGGCAATAGCACCGTTTGTCCATTTTGAGACGCCATCGCCAGTATACACTTCCTCAAAAGTCAGAATGAATCTAAGATAACATTTTTGTCAAAGAGATCTTAGTCACGCAATTTCACATCTAAGATGTTTGGTGCAGTATTTCTCAATGAAAAACATTGCATGAAAACAAGTTGTCTCTGGTTGAATGACAAAGACTATTGAAGCATCCCTACTGTTGACCAATCACCAACGAAGGGGTGTAGACTTCGGCTCCGAACTTCAGCTTGCCTCCAGAAAAAAATGTGTGCCCGAACAGCTGAAAAAAGTCCAAAATGTCACAAAATGTTGTCATAATATATGCACGAACTCTTTCGAACTGTGGACGCCTTTAGACTGTTGACAACATAACTATAGTTCGTCTCCATATGTTCGTTGAAAACAAACACAATGAGCACTTGTCTCACATACATCGTTAGTTGTTGATTAGCTAGCGAATTTTTGCCATATTAACACAGACATGACAGTCAAAACACCTCAAAACAAGACATGGTATCAATAAGATACATGCTGAAACGAAGCGACCTTTTATTCCCCACTGTTGCTAACTATCTAACCGTTCAGATTCATAACAACTCACACCTTCCAGCCACATCGTTGCGCAAATCATGTGTGATATCAGTCAACCAGTCTGTTTTCCCTATAATTTAGGATTGAGGAATATAACTTCCATCTCTTGAATATGCTAGTGACAGAGTGGCCATTCCACCTGACCGGGGTGCGAACTCACAACCCTTCTCAACGTAACACAACTCACTCGAGACACTGTCAATAGCACTGACCTAGAAATGCCAAGGCAATTCTGAATCCGGGGCGACAGCATTTATAGATCTTGGTAAGGCAGTAGCGATGCACTTGGTTATCCACTACACTAGCAACTTACCAATCTAATGAATCCAAACCCCCTGTCCTTGTTGATGAAAATCTCAGCTGCCTTGCCATACTTGGAAAACAACTTCTCCACCTCTGCCTCTGTAACACCAGTTGGTAAATTTCCCACAAAGAGACGGCTACGCTGAGTGTAAGTCTTCTCTCCAGGTTTCCTGAAGTTCTGTAGATCTATGGTAATCCCAGCATCTACAGAGAAGCAAAATATTAGAATCATCTAATACAGGAGGATTTCATTTCCTTCCAAAACAGAGTTCAGGAGTCAATGAATCCAATCTTACTTGGGCTCTCCTGCTCATCTGCATGCTGTCCATTGCTGTTATCTCCAGGTTTTTTCTGATTCTCCATCTGGTGTCTAGATGGGCCATGATTCTGCTGTTCACCACGGTGGCCCCAGTTTCCTTGCATCTAATAAAAAGGACAGTCATTAACACAGAGTCACTACATTATAGCGAACATAATCGGGTTAATTAGTTGTTTTTTTAAATGAAAGATTTCAAAGCCAGAGGAACGATATACGTTAGTTGGCTATCTAGACGAGTGTTTAACGTTAGTTAGTTATATAACTGCTAATTTCACAGTCAAAAAATATTTTTGCCTAACGTTTAGCAAGGAAATAGTCGATTGTAAAGAGTGGCGTTTTGAGAGATACTATTGGCTAGGTAATGAAATGCGACATCACTGGCTAGCTTGTTATGTTATCAAGATAGAGTAAAGCAACTACCTAACGTTAACTAGCCGAATTTGAAAGCCACCTTTGTTTGCTAGCTAGGTAGCTAACTAACTAGTTCAAGGCGTGCATGGTGCATTGGCAGCTAGCAAACCAACATCGATTTTGAAACAATCTGTTAGTTAACGAATTAAAACGTATTAGCCAACGTTCGATAACTAACGTTAGCTAACTAACTAACGTTAGCTACCTTATACATTTGGGAAGCTGGCTAGCAACATCGCTAACTAAACTAACCATCCTCACTCCTAGCTAACCATAGCTAGCTAGCACAATAGTTTATTTCCTAGCAAATTAATGCAACATATTGCTAACTAATATAAGCTACTTCTCAGATGAAAGCACCATTTTTGTATATTCAACCACACTTTTTTCATACCTTTACCAAAATAAATGTTTGGATCAATACGATTCCAGCGCACGAAGCAGGGAAAATAGCTCTATACAAAGAACAGAGAATGGATTTCACGAACAACCTTGATAACGCTTGAGAAAGCGGATTTGCTGACGGAGAGGAGGCGGATGTCGTGAAGACATGCAGTGATTGGAAGAATTGCCGTCAATTATATAGAGATCAACAAATCTAACTATCTGATTGGTGCATATTCTATTTGAACGTTCTTTGATTTTATCAGGAAATGACGTTAATAGTTTGTACGACGCTAAAGGCTAAGATAAATAGTAACTGTCTTTTTGTAGGCACTAATAACTCCGCCATGGTTCGATGGACAAAGCCTATGAGGAAAATGAATGGCATTTTGGGATAAACGCCGAAAATAAGTTATGTGGTAAACACAGGTTTAGGAGATCTTAATCTTAAATCAGCTAACGTTACTTTTTGTGAATTTAGGAAAAATTATGTTATAAAAAAAAGCACATAAAGGCTTCATAATTCCAGTGGCGACCTGTCATTTCAGGGCAGGTTTTTTTTTTTTTGATTGCCTGTTTTGCATGTTATTTTGGCATTAATACGTGTCACATATATGTTTGCAAACATTGTAAAAAATACAATCAAAATCATTGAGTTAATAAAGCCGCATACAAACTTGGTCTCTTTTTTGCTTTCTTGAGTAAGGCAGCTCCAAAATGCAGGGGTTTCTGTGGTGGTGGGGCAGTCAGAGGAACCTACGGAGTGTAGGGGTTGGTAATGTTCTCTAGTTGCGCCGTGATTGGCTCAGTGTTCTGTCACTCATAGGGACACTAAGTCACCGCCAAATCTAAGGGTAGAGCTGCTCTGGCACCCCAATGGTGGAACAAGCTCCCTCACGACGCCAGGACAGCGGAGTCACTCACCACCTTCCGGAGACATTTGAAACCCCACCTCTTTAAGGAATACCTGGGGTAGGATAAAGTAATCTTTCCTTGTCATATGAAGATAAACTAATGTAGATTGTAGATAAAACGTATTGGTGCTCATCAGCCATTGGACATAAACATTACACAACAAGTTGGAAATTGCAAATTCAACAATGAGTGGTTTGGAAGGAATCAGTGGCTAACTGCAAGCATTGCAAAGCAATCACTAGCCTGCTATTCAGTGGAGTGGGTGTGTGGTCCCAAGTCTGGATTTAAGGGTCTCTTTTCCAAGCTTAAAAGGATAAACATTCAACATTGGCCATGCTGTCAATCCAGCATGACTTCTGCCATGCTCAAAACAACTGGAAACTTGGAACTGGGAAATCTGACTTCAGTGAGTTCAAGACAACTGGAAAATCGGGCTCCGACTGGGAAAATACGTTTTGAACGGTCATCGAACTCGGAATTGCAAGTCGGGAACTCGGGCCTCTTTCTAGAGCTCCAACCTGAAGATCACTGACATCATCATGATTGACCTTGTTTTTTTCCACCATAAAACCAGAGAATGCCAGACTTTGATGACAAAGTTTGACAAAATTTGCCCACGAAGGACTGCCGCGCCACCTTCCTGTTCAAGTGAGCACAGCACAACAAGGCGAGTCCAAAAATGTATTGTATGCTGCTGCATAAATGATGTAATATGCCAGGGAGATATGTATACTGTAGCTAAGAAAGTAATACTAAGTGTATGTTGTGCAGTAAACTGTTAGTAGCCCATGTGCCTCACCCTAATAATTAGGTCCCAAATCCCTCTTAATTTCACCTACTGTTCTGACTTAGTGGTGCACATGTAGCCTATTTATTCCAAAACCCTATTCTTTCTTCCATTACAGATGGCTGAACAAACCAAAGGTAACTAATTTCCGGGTTTTAGGACTACAAGCTGACGAGCTATATAGCTTATTCTTTTTGCAGCACACAATACACACTTCATAAGAGGTGAAAGACGCATGATAATAACTATTAGACAGAAGCTCCAAGAAAGGGATTTAGGCATCTTTATTTTAAGTCACATTAAATTAAACATTGCGTTTAAAAGTATAAAAAAAACATCAAACACATGTTTGCAAATAAAATAGTCGAACTCATGCACTTCTTCTGTACCCCAGTGGAGGCTGGTGGGAGGAGCTACAGGAGGATGGGCTCATTGTTATGGCTGGAATGGAATAAATGGAACGGAGTCAAACGTGGTTTCCATATGTTTGATAATGTTCCATTTAAATTCATTCCAGCCATTACAATGAGCCCGTCCTCCTATAGCTCCTCCCATCAGCCTCCACTGCTGTACCTGTATAATGAATAGAAGCAGGGTGCAAGGTTATTTTGGTTTAACCCTCTTGGCACCCTCCTTGTAGTCCTCCTTTGTCAGTCGGTACCCCCAGTGCTGTAATGTCTGTCTGACAACAGGAGACACTGTTGGGTTGTCAAAGCCACAGCCTGATCGGACTACTTTGGTGATAAGATTATTTCTCCACCTGCCTTTTACCCCAGCACACTTTGCCCATCGCCCGATCTGACGCTCATCATCCTTAGTACGCCGACCCTGGTAAAACCTGTAGGGAATTTACATTTCTGAGGAAGAAGACACTATAATGTAGGAGAATAGAAAGGAGACTTTTATACCCAGTCTGAATCTACTGTATATATTCTGCAAATACCTGCAATACCACTGAAACCACCCATAGGGATCCTGGGTTACAATCCATCCACTGCTTTCCCACATTTCTAGACTGCCTCCACACTTCACTTTGTATGTGTTTACCCTGTCTCTGTATGTTGACGAGGCCACCTGCATGGGGAAACACATATTTGATAACACACATAATGCTTTATTATTTATTATCAGCCTGGCCTTGTAATGTCTTATTGGGCTTATATTTCAGAAAATCTCCAGCTGACTCAAAATGTCTAACTTAGTCAGGATCATTATGAGATAATAACAACATTGGTGGGCATGCTTATGACAAGTCTTATAATGCTTTATCTTTGCATTATATCTATCAGCTTTAAATGTTCAGGCTTGTTTGGGTGGCTCTATTACAATGGATGTGTTTATAGGTGTTTTATCGTTAATTTGGTTTGGTAGGCCTAAACACAGTCAGTGTATAGAGTAGGTTTGGTTTCGTATAATCACCTGTGTTGGAACGTTCAAACCTTTCAGCCAATCCTCAGGGAGCTCCTTCCATTCATCTTCGCAATGTTGTTCTATGATGAAAGAAACAAAAAAGTGTGATTAGCAATGTGGTTAACCTACATTAGTAATGAAGTCATAACATCCAAAGTAATGATTTTACATTTGTGTGGCTACTCACTTGTGACACTTGAGTATATTGGTCTGAAGTAGGTACCACCAAAGCTGCCAGCTTGAAGTACTTCTTTTGGTGACATGTTAGGTTGGAACTGTGGGAAGTCTAAGAAAAATGACTTGTGACTGAGCCTTCTGTGGAAGGAATGTCTATGTGTTAAAACAGAGTTGCAGATGTAGGCATACCTTTAAATAGAAGTTGTCCTTTGTCATTCTTTGTCACCTCTAGCCATCCATCCTGAATCTTCTTCTTGCTTGCATGTTTAGAGCTTTGAGAAACTTCTGTGCTGCCCAAGAATTTGTGTTTTTTCTTGCTTGAGACCTTCTCCATTTTAGTCTTTTCTGTAGGCAAGTAAAATTATTTTTAGGTGGCTAACGTATTTCTTTTTTTTAAACCATTGGCAATGTTCGAGAGGATCAAACCCGCAATGTATCTTGCGTAAATTGTGACTGACTGACTAATATGAGTCCTTATTTATGATTAAAAGTGATTTGTTGATAGTCGGCTGCAGTCGTTTTGATGCTCTGGAACATGGCCATTTTCTATGTAGCATACCAGGCAGACTTTAGGCTACTCAAAACCTTGACTCACTCACTTACCCTTGTTCTGTACTTTATTTGAGCTAGTCTTGCCACCATCCTTCGATTTCAGCTTTTTGCAGTCTGGAAGACTTGCCTCAGTTGAGGAAGCGTTTCTTTTTTTAGAAGTTGCCTTCGTTGTCCCGCTGCATTTCTCCATGTCTCGATATGTTCCTTCTTGTAGGCCGTAGACAACGTTTAAAATGAAATAAATCGAAAACGACCACGCATCTGAGTTGCACAACACTAGCTACAATGGTTTTGTTGTGAAGAAGAATGTACTCAACTGTATCCTCCTCAGTATGAATGAATTGAAAACATTCGGGTTAAGTAACTGTGCGTCTCACTGTTTATGCAACAACCAGAAGACCCCGCGGTCGGTGCGCCTGCTTTACAAGCCAGCGCGCCCAGACAAAGGCGCTGTAGTCAGATGACGCGTTCCAACCAATGACATATATAAACCCTGGATTGCTGATGCTATGTTTTGGCCATTGAGAGGCTTTGAAGCCACCAATCGTCCAAATTGGTACTCCTCAGAAAAGCAGTCTTCCCTAGGAATGAATGGAATTCTAGGACAAAATGTGTATTTTAGTATTTTTGTTGTTGTAGTGAGGACAGTAACATTAGCAGGTTCCAGCAGATTTTTTTTTAACCAATGATTTATATATACCTTAGATGATGTTTTGAAACCACCATGTCTCCATCTTGGCACCCCCCTCATTGTAAATTGTTTTATTTTGGATTTCATAGAAATGAATTTATTAATGTCTACATTTGTTTTTGCCACGTTTATTCTATTAAAGACACCTTAATGCATACTTTGAAATTATATTATGTGAGCTAAACATAACAATTAAAAAACATATAAAAACATTTTCCTTAAAGTGTACTTTTTTGAAAGTTCTAGTGTTACTGTCCCCACTACAACAACAAAAAATACTTAAATACATGTAATTTGGTCTTTTAAACATTTAATTTAAATACTATAGAATTTCATTCATTCCTATGGAGGACTGCTCCTTATGGGGAGTGCCAATCTGGCCGACCGGTGGCTTCAAAGCCTCTCACTGGCCAATACGTAGCATCAGCAATCCAGGGTTTATATAAATTATTGGTTCCAACCCATCTGTGGAGAAGTCGGAAGAGACTTGGATGCAGTCTAGTGTGGAATATCAGGAGTACTGCATTACTTGGGAGTTGGGACAATTTTAAAGCATTTTGGTGTCACAGTCAACAGACTACGCTGAGCTGTAGGCCTTATTTCTAATAGGCTATGCCTATCAGATGACATTCTGGTCATCTACATTACTCTACAAGCTGTCTGGATCTAGAACCTATATTTTTCTACACAGCAAATGTTGGGTGTTAAAATCTCGGTGTTGAGGTAAAAAGTGTTGAGTGTTATATCTGAGTGTTGATTCTATTGGGGTTAACACCAGTGGGATTGAAATTGAAACCACCTGCAGTGAATAAATTAAGTGTTGAATCACAGTGGAATCACCACCGCGAGGTGTTGTTGTTGTTACTTGACTGTGTTGAGTTAATTTCCATTAACTCTCTTGAGTGAAAAAGACATGGGAGGGGTCTCATTATCATATTTCCCAGCATGCTTTGTTGCAGGTTGCTTTTTAGAATATTTTGTTTTAATATCTATGTTTCTGCATGCACATTGATTGATTAATTGATCGAATACTACACAAAGATAAATAACATACATTTCCCTAAACTAATCCAATCTGTAAGTGGTTGGACTTATTTCACCCGTTATCGAGATGGTTGTTCCAGTTTAGATGTTTAGGTAGTCTAAATTATTAACATTTCCTACCTTAGCAGTCATTCTAACTGCAGTTGCGGGTGATTAAAAGTTCGAATTGTTGGTTATCCTAACTCTGCCTGGATTCCAATAGGAATGTGACTTGCTGATGTGGCCTGCAAACCAGGAGTTTCAGACCAATGTGTTAGGGTAAAACTAGGCTGTCGAAGTATGGTATTGTCAAAACAAGTATTTAGATTTTTATGATAACATATTCACTTAGGCACTGTCACGGATCCCCCCAGTACTGCTGCTCATTCCGTTCACCAGCTCCGGAGGTCTACGTCACCGGCCTTCTAGGCGTCACTGACCTGGTTCATTACCACCAACCCCCGACTGTCTTGTCTCATTACGCACACCTGGTTCCCATTCCCTCTGATTAGTATGTGTATATATGTGCCCTCTGTTCCCAATTGTCCTTGTCGATTATTGTCCCATTTCCGTTGGTCTCGTGAGTACATTGTATTACAGTTTACATACCGAGTATTGTACACTTGTTATTACGGGTCTCGTCCCGCGTATTATTTAGAGGTTTACACCACGCTCTTTTGTTTGGGTTACATCCCTGTGTTATATATATATATATATATATGTGTGTTTGTTTTGGGCTTCGTCCCCGTCGTTTTCTATGACGTATCTTATGTTGGGTAAAGTAATAAAAACCCTGATTACGCATTCCTGCGGCTGACAGGCACTCACTTGGTGAAGGCTACAGGACTGAAAGCCATCGAACGCAACAATCATGTCTCTGTCATTGTTGCATGACTGGTACCTCTAAAATTCACTCAAAAGGCCCCCTGGGAAATAAATATGTAAATAAAGTTTTAGTGTTAAAACAACACCCCAAAACGAGTTACTGTAACACCACAGGTGTTCATTCCCTAACACTGAGAAAGTATATCATCATCAACTCTAATAAAGTGTTAATTTAAGTCGGAATTTGCAACACCCATGGTGTTAGGGACCAAACATTCTTGGGGTGTTAGTGTATCAACACTTTCAAAAGTGTTCGTTTTTACATTATTTGAGATGGTTACATCTCATTTCTAAGAACGTGTTGAATTTAACAATGTGGGTGTTAAAATTCTGATCGCAAATTTGCTGTGTAGATTTGCATCTCTCCTCAACTTTGTGCTCCTCCCTCCTTTGATACAATACATTAGCCAGAATATCCTAGTGAAAGTGATCCAGATCAGTGGGAAATAGAGAATAAACAAAGGGCTCTTAGAGATATTTAAGGCAGTATTTGTACAGTCACGCCCCCATAATAGTTCTCCTCAGGATACATAACCTAGTGATTTAGACCTCAATGTGTGTTTCATTAAAGAGGCACTGTCTTTGTTTGTAGGCCTACTAAGTATGCCTCTTTATGAACGTGATTGTCTTTTAAAGTGTCTCACAGGCAAACTTCCTGCAGGGATGCCCTTGCCCACGAATCAAGTTAAATTTGCAGGTGAAATTCATGAAATGCACCTTTAAATAGCACTTAATTGTTTATTTTCTATGGCGAGCCTGTCATGCCAAATAGTGTCCCCCTGCCAAAAACACCGTTTTATTTTGTTCAGGTTATCTAGCTAGTTAACTGTTATTGTAGCTTTCTGTTTGTCTGTAGCTTGCACTTTAATGGCATCCCTCGAGGAGGTTTTATCTTTCCAACCAGGCAAAGTACAATGAAGGCACAACTGATCTCGACAAGAGGCGCAACATTCGTAGGGGGGCAGAGAAATTCACAATTCAGAGTAACGTTAAGCAGTTAATTTCTATTAGATCACTGGAAGGATTTATGCACAACCATTTTCCATCTAGCTAGTTGGTCGTCTACATGTCGCAAGCTATACATTTAGTTATATGTCTGTCATATTGAGGTATCTAGCTATAAGTTAACCCTGATCAATCAAATGGATAGGTGTAATAAATTATTGTAACTCCAACTGCCCTTAACTAGGTGTCTTCGCTAGACAGAGAGAGACTCATACAGAGAAAGACCCATACAGAGAGAGAGAGAGGGTGGGAGAGAGAGATGTGGGAAGAGAGTGAAAGAGAGAGATGGAGAGAGCGAGAAACAGAGAAAGACAGCAGTGCAAATTTACTTAGACTTTAGTATTTCAACAACTCTTGTCTTCCAACTTGTTAGGCAATCACATGTACCTACGGGGGAAGGATCGCCAGCCACACAGGAGGGTGATTTTCACTAAGGAGGCCGTGCTGACAGAGATGCATGCTGGACATTTCGGCATGAAGCGCATGATTGCCAAAATCAACCTACGCTTCTTCTGGCGTGGGGTTGTCAAGGATGTGGACAGCTGGGCAAGTGAAATAACCTTTTGTTTATCAATTACATGCTATTATATCTGAAATTATTATGATTTCGATGAATGTCATATCAGAGCGCACAGTGTTTCAATTTGTCACTTTGTACTTATAGGTCAGTACCTGTCTAGCCTGCCAGACGTTTGAGAGGGTGAAGACTGGCGCCGGAGTTGAAGCCCATCAAAGTTGTTTCACCATGGCACATGATCGGTAAGTGTGTCACAATTCAAATTTTGCAAGTTGTTTTGTAATGGTTGTTCAATATTCAAATGTTTGTGTCAGTATCCTTACAAATATGAAAACTACATACTGTATGACACGGGTAAGAATAAAGTAATTTTCTCTCTAACACATTAAATGTTAGGGGTGGACCTCATCAGACCCTTCACGAAATCCAGGAATGGCATCCGCTGGTGTCTGACGGCGACCGATTAATTCACCAAGTGGGTGGAGACTATACCCATTAAGGTCAGTAAAGGAAGAGAATGTGCTTAACTCTAAATTCCCTTCTATAACCCATTAAAAAGGGTGCTTGGAACCAAAAATCGATTTTCATGTTGTATGATACCCATCAAGGATAAGACTGGCGAGGCCACCTCCAAGGCGATGATGGAGATCTTCAACACCCACGGTGTTCCTGAGGTAATCTTGAGTGACTGAGGTTGTGAACTCTGAAACAAGGTAATAATATATATATATATAATATGCCATTTAGCAGACGCTTTTATCCAAAGCGACTTAGTCATGTGTGCATACATTTTTACGTATGGGTGGTCCCGGGGATCGAACCCACTACCCAGGCGTGCTCTACCAATTGAGCTACAGCTATATTCTGTCACCAACTACATAAATAGCCAAGTTTATTTACTGATGTGCGATTTTCTTTAGACCAACAAAGCCTTGTTCGAGGACTGGGGGGTGAAGCACCGGGTTTCCACTGCATATCATCCACAGACCAACTGTTTGTTTTAGTTTTTTTTACGGTACATAAATCAGACATTGTCAATAGATATCCCTTTCCTACCCACTCCTCCAGGTTTGGATGAATGGACCAACCAGACCCTCAATACTGCCATGGGCAAGTCCCTTGACGGGTACCAGGAACGGTAGGACAACCTGAAGGTAATTTTCTTTGCACACAACAGCAGTGTCCAGGCCTCCACCAAGTACTCGCCCCTATCGCCTGCTGTAAGGACGGGAGCCGCAGCTGTTGACAGAGGTAAACAATGCAATTGTATATACAATTATATCAAATTATTGCAGATACTGCAGTCA